CAGTTGCAGAGAAAGAGAAAAGGCAGGGTCAAAAGCTGGGATACTATGAAAAATTCAAGGTCTCCTGTTGAGGATGGGGAATGTAAGGGGCGGAGGGAGAGGCCCTGAACAGTTAGGCGGAAAGAGATAGAGGGAAGTCTGGCAGGAGTGTCTGAGGGCAAAGGTATGCAGTTGAGGGTGGAGGGAGCATGGCCTATCGCTGTCGGGTCCCTTCCCACAGACCAGAACTCAGAGGACCCTCTTTCATTACTCTCCCTTCCACAGGCACCAAACTGGACAGCTCTGGTGTGGCCTTTGCCGTGGTGGGGGCCTGCCAGGCTCTGGGTCTCCGGGATGTCCACCTGGCCTTGTCTGAAGACCACGCCTGGGTAGTGTTTGGGCCCAATGGAGAACAAACAGCTGAAGTCACTTGGCATGGCAAAGGCAATGAGGATCGCAGGGGCCAGACAGTCAACGCGGGTGTGGCTGAGCGGGTATTGCACTCCCCTACCCCGCCATATTCTCCTACCCCAGGCAACCCAAGGAGCTCTGCTTTCTTGGGCCACGCTCCCCTCATCCTGTCACCACCTCCATATGTCTGGAAGGGGAGGGCCCTGTTCCTGATGTCAGTCCCTACAGCAGGCACTGGTGGGCCATCATAAGACATCTGGTCTTGTCCTCTCCTAAGAGCTGGCTGTACCTGAAAGGATCGTACATGCGCTGTGACCGCAAGATGGAGGTGGCATTTATGGTATGCGCCATCAACCCTTCCATTGACCTGCACACCGACTCCCTGGAGCTATTGCAGCTGCAGCAGGTGAGGGTACCTGTGGGACCCTGGGCCAGGGTGCTTTCCCTTGCTGAGCTTCAGCTTCCCCATTCTGTAACGTGGGTGAATCATTCCTGGCCTGGACTTTCCTGGGGCTCTTGGGAAGGGGGAAATTGAGACATGAAAGTGCTTTGACTCCAGTCAGGGGCTAGTTCCTGAATTCTGGCTTTTCCCACTTGGGGGAGGGTCCCCTACTGGTGCTGGACCGCTCTCTCTGCCTGGTAGACTGAGGTCGCGCCTCCGTCTCACCAGCTTGCACTTTTCTCCTTTGGCCCCTAGAAGCTGCTCTGGCTGCTCTATGACCTGGGACATCTGGAAAGGTCAGTAGTGGGAGTGGCCAGGCTAGGCCGCAGGGCGGTCTTGGGGACAGCCTGGACTTACGAGCTTTTCCCAGGTACCCGATGGCGCTGGGGAACCTGGCGGATCTGGAGGAGCTGGAGCCCACCCCGGGCAGGCCGGACCCACTCACGCTCTACCACAAGGTGGGGACATTGTAGGTATAGAAGGGCTGCCCAGCGGTGGCTGGGGTCCCCTTCTACCTGGGAACTGGGGGGGCAGGTGAGGAGAGAACTTTGTGTATATTGTGGGTCATCACCCATCCAGTCCCCTTTTTGTATTTACTGCGTGCATATTAAATGCAGTCAGGGATGTCTGAGAGGTGTTCTGGGTTCTCTGCCTGGGAGTGGTAGGTCCTAGAGTTGTCCCCTCAGCCCTACTTTTTCTACTGCCTGTCATTGTCCTTCTGGGAGTATAAAAGAAGTCAAACATGGTGAGAGCAGTGAGGCGGGAGTATTAAGTTGGTGGGGCTGGGGGCTCCTGGGCTAGGAGGGACATTGGGCTGGATTTGGAAGGCCGTGGTGTCTGTGGGGGAAGGTTCAGGAAAGGGCAGACCTGAGCTTGGAGGATAAGCCTTGCCCCTTCGTAGGCCTGGTCTGCAGGGTGCCTGCAGCAGCCTGGCCCAGGCCTGAGCAAGTAGACCTGCAGACCAGGGGAGGGGCAGCTGGTGGAGAAGATGGTGACCAGGGTAGTAGGGTCTCATGGGAGGGGACTCTCTGGAATCTTCCTGATGCCCCTCCCAGTTGTGATCCAGTGGAACATTTGTGCCATCTGGGGCCGCCTCCTTGAGACGCCTCTGCTCCATCCCCAGGGCATTGCCTCAGCCAAGACCTACTACCGGGATGAGCACATCTACCCCTACATGTACCTGGCTGGCTACCACTGTCGCAACCGCAATGTGCGCGAAGCTCTGCAGGCCTGGGCCGACACAGCCACTGTCATCCAGGAGTGAGGATGCCCCCACGGGACCCCAGCCCGGCTTTCTTCCCCTTCCACCCAATTTACAACCCCTCTCGTCCAGGAGGGAGGCCTGGGTCCCAAGTTTTATCCCCTCTCCTAGTCACTAGGCAGCCAAGACCATCATCGCCTGAGAGGTAGGGACCCCCCCTGAGGACCTCTGGCCTTTCCTTCCCTCCCCTCTCCTGATTTCTGACCACTACCATCCAGCTCTGTATCCCCAGGCCCCTCCTCATTCTTGCTCTGGGCTGATACAGCACTATCATCTCGGAGTGAGGACCCCAACCATTCACTCCAGTCCCCGGATGATCCCGGAAAAGAAACCAGGGCTCCCTCCCCTGCCAGGTCCCTGGGGGTACCCGCCATGGCTGAGACCCCACAGTGCCCTGCTGCCCTCACAGCTACAACTACTGCCGTGAAGACGAGGAGATCTACAAGGAGTTCTTTGAAGTAGCCAATGATGTCATCCCCAACCTGCTGAAGGAGGCCGCCAGCCTGCTGGAGGCTGGCGAGGAACGGCCCGGGGAGCAGACCCAGGTGAAAGGCTGGGCTTCAGCCTGTGCACACCTCCCACCTGAGCAGGGCTCCCAGTCACAGGACGTGGACCCGCTGCATGGGGCTGGGGGCGGCAGAGGACAGGGAGACAGCGGTGCTCTCTCACACAGTAGCTGAGGGCCTGGGTCTGGGTTTAAGGAGCTGAGGTAAATGGGATGGAAGCCCTTCTCTTTCTCCGTCAGGGTCACTCATTCAGTTGAGGGGGTGAAATGGAGGTAAAGGGTGGCTCCCCACTTCCCCCAAGTCTAGGCTAAGGACTAGATTTATAAAAGGAAGGAGTTTCTAAGAATTCTCTCTATCCCTACTCACCTCCGCCAGGGCCAGGGCTCTCTGTCCAGGCGAGAGGTCTGGCCTGTTCCCCCTGGTGAGGGGTGAGTAATGGGGTCTGAAATAACTGTGCCCTCCTTTCCCCCTTTCTCAGGGCACGCAGAGCCAGGGTTCTGCCCTCCAGGACCCAGAGTGCTTCGCCCATCTGCTGCGATTCTACGATGGCATCTGCAAATGGGAAGAGGGCAGCCCCACGCCCGTGCTGCATGTGGGCTGGGCCACCTTCCTTGTGCAGTCCCTAGGCCGTTTTGAGGGACAGGTGAGGGGCAGCTGTGCAGGGTGGCAGGGAGGGCAGGTGGTGACAGCAGCTTGGAGGAGTCAGAACCTTTGTAGCCCTGCAGGGGATCCGCCCTTCCCCTTTGGGTGCAACGCCCCAAGATGGCCAGGGCGCGGTTTGCCAGCCATTGGCCTGCAACCTTGACCTTCGCTTGTCCTCCCCATGCGGCTCAGGTGAGGCAGAAGGTACGCATAGTGAGCCGAGAGGCGGAGGCGGCCGAGGCTGAAGAGCCGTGGGGCGAGGAAGCCAGAGAAGGCCGGCGGCGGGGCCCACGGCGGGAATCCAAGCCAGAGGAGCCGCCGCCTCCTAAAAAGCCGGCACTGGACAAGGGCCCAGGCGCGGGCCAGGGTGCGGTTCCAGGACCCCCTCGGAAGCCCCCAGGCACAGTCCCCGGGACTGCCCGTGGTGCTGAAGGCGGCAGCGCTGCTCCAGCGCCGGCACCCTCCGCATCACCGCCACCCGAGGGTCCAGTGCTGACGTTCCAGAGCGAGAAGATGAAAGGCATGAAGGAGCTGCTTGTGGCCACCAAGATCAATTCGAGCGCCATCAAGCTGCAGCTCACGGCGCAGTCACAAGTGCAGATGAAGAAGCAGAAAGTGTCTACACCTAGTGACTACACGCTTTCCTTCCTCAAGCGGCAGCGCAAGGGTCTCTGAAGTACCCGGACTCCATATCCGCCTACCGAGAGCCCGCCCTCAGCCCGACGAGGCTCCACCCCTGCCTCTTGAGCCCAGGCTCCGCCCCCAGGCCCCATCCCTACCCGGAACCCAGGCTGCAGGTTCCCAGAGTACAGACTGCCCAGCGCCCGAATCGAGGGCTCTGCCCAGTCATTGGAATATAGAGCCCATCCCCTAGGGTCCCAGCCGGCCATCTGAAACTTCCCCTCTGAGCCCATCACCAGTCTTTAAAGGTCCAGCCACGGGAAACAGCATTCACCTCAGAACCGAGGCTCTAACCCTCATCCTGACCGGTATTGGCTCAGGGTTGTTTCCAGCCCATGGGACTGTCACTCTAAACCCTAGAAGCACAGGTCCCACCTACAGCCCAGGAACCAAGGACCCCGCCCAGTTCCTAGGTGAATGTTTCCGCACTTCAGAATTCCACTCCGTGGGAAATCCAAGCCCCCTACCACAAAGAACCTAAGAAACGCTTCCAGAATTTGGAAATGCTAGCTTCCTTCTCTGTCGCATGGGTCGGGGACATGAAACTCTGCCCCCGGCCTGTGTGAGTCCTGAGCCCTGCCCCCTCCCTGCCCAGACTGGCCCTAGATCAGAGCAGACCTTTATTCCGACCCTCTGGGAACCTCCCCGAGGTCCAGCCTGTCTCGGGGGACCCTAGAGGAAATCTGTAGGGGTTTGTTTGCGAGTGGGTGAGGGGAGCCTGATCTCTTCCTGTTTTGTACATAGATTTATTTTTCAGTTCCAAGGAAGATGAATACATTTTGTAAAAAAAAAAAAAAAAACTTGTCGGTGTTTTATCTGGGAATTTTGGGGTAAAGTGTCCCCTCTTCTGCCTTCTGGCCCCGCGGGCTTCAGGCTCCCCACTTGTAGAGCTCGAGGAACCAGTGGCTGACGGAAGAGCCTCGGCGCCGCCCGCTCCGCCCGGGATCGGGGCTTCCCCTTGCCGCCGAGGGTTGGTCCCGCGGGCGCCTCCTCCCGGCCGGGCGGCGGGGCATCCCCGGCCTGGCCCCGCCCTCCGCGCCGCCCCGCGCCGGCTCCGCAGCTCGCGCCTGCCCGGCGCCGGGCCATGGCGCTGCTGCAGAACGTGTCGCTGCAGGATCCACGGGACCGCTTCGAGCTGCTGCAGCGCGTGGGGGCCGGGACCTATGGCGACGTCTACAAGGTGCGCCGGGCGGCGGGCCGGGCGGGAGAGCAGAGAGCGGGGGTACGCGCTCTGCGTCTTGCTGCGGGAGCTGGCCCCCGGCCCCGCCTCCTCCTCATCCCTCCTCACCCCCTCCTCATCCCTCCTCAACCCTCCGCCCCTGCAGGCCCGCGACACGGTCACGTCCGAACTGGCCGCGGTCAAAATAGTCAAGCTAGACCCAGGTGAGGGCCGGGAGCCAGGGCCTCAGCGCTGGAGGGAGGCCAGAGCGAGTCGCGGGTGGGCGCGGTGTGAGGGGCGGAGAGTTGACATTTCCAGGTCCCCCTGAGAGGCAGGCCCCAGGAGGTACTGTCGGCTGGCACCTGTCTGGCCTGAAGAGAGGAGGCACTCTGTGCCCATTTTGCAGATGGGGGCACTGAGTTAAGGCGGCCCCCTTCATGATGCCTTGTGTTTCCCAGGGGACGACATCAGCTCCCTTCAGCAGGAAATCACCATCCTGCGTGAGTGCCGCCACCCCAACGTGGTGGCCTACATTGGCAGCTACCTCAGGTGAGGCTGCTTCATCCCCTTGCCCGCCCCCAGGCAGCCCCCATGTGGCCCTGCCATGTGCCCACCCCAGCTCTGTGTCACCCCAGGAATGACCGTTTGTGGATCTGCATGGAGTTCTGCGGAGGGGGGTCTCTGCAGGAGATTTACCACGGTGAGGGCTAGGACTCCAAGCCCCAGAGGGCCACGGCCTTCTTCCCATCCCCCTACCCCAACATAGGGCAGGAGGAGAGCACTGAGGCCCTGCACTTGGGCCCCTCTCCACGTCTCACTGGCTGTGTGACCTTGAGAAAAATGCTGTCCTTCTCTGGGCTGTATATCCTACCCTATGTCGGGAGGGGATGTGGCCAACTCCCCTTTTGCCAGCGGTGCCTGCTGCTTCCCCTACACAGGGTGGAGCCTGGGTGGGTCAGCATATCACCCCCAGACTCCCAAGCCAGCCCTTACCCCTTCCATTGCAGCCACAGGGCCCCTGGAGGAGCGGCAGATTGCCTATGTCTGTCGGGAGGCACTGAAGGTAGCTGGGCCCGTGGGACTGCTCACAGCCTCGTCCCCAGGAGCAGGGCAGGCAGCCCAGCAGTCCCCTGTGTGTGTTGGGGTGGGGTGGGTGGAGTCCCTCAGGCTGAGCTGCCTGAGGGGCTGTGGGTCCTGGGGGGGAAGGGGCCCCAGCCCTATTGCCGGAAGCAGCCCATTTCCCTTTTGGCTCAGTCACTTCCTGTTTGGGGAGAGGGGTGGAGGAAGCTGCTTGGGTGGGGGGCCCCAGGCCTGGGGGGTCAGGAGAGGGCAGGTACACGGGGCAGCTGCTCTCAGGGGCTCCTCTGTCCGCAGGGGCTGCATCACTTGCACTCTCAGGGGAAGATCCACAGAGACATCAAGGTAGGGGTCTGGCCAAGCACATCATGGGCGGGAGGAGGGGACTCTCGGGGGCACCAGACGGGATTCTCTCTCCTCCATTCCCACAGGGAGCCAACCTTCTCCTCACCCTCCAGGGAGATGTCAAGCTGGGTCAGTACCTTGGGGACACCATCAGGGCGAGGGTTTTGTGGGAGCTTCTGGAGTCTGGGAGCCTGCTTGTCCTCCGGCAAGTCGTTTTACCACTTGAGCCTTGGTTCCCCGTTTAGAATGTGGCACCGTTCTCCCTTCCTGCTGGAAAGTTGGATGTGGTTGAGTCTGTATGGAGTCTAACCCAGGACCGGGCACTGGGTCAGGGCTCGAAGGTGGTCGACCCCTCCCAGGGGGGAACCTGGCCTTGCCTCGTGCCTGTGGCCGCTGTGGCTGAGCCTGGGCCACCTGCTGTCGGAGCCCCGCCAGGTGCATCCTGAGCCTGTGCCCTGGCCGTGGGTGGGGAGTGGCAGCCTGAGGTGGGGTGAGAGCCGCTTTTCTCCCTGCAGCTGACTTCGGGGTGTCAGGCGAGCTGACAGCGTCTGTGGCCAAGAGGAGGTCTTTCATTGGGACTCCATACTGGTGAGTCTGCGCCTCTGGCTGAGGGGGTAGGGGCCGTGAGTGGAGGTCCCTGGCCATCTCATATGTGAGCTTGCCTCCAGGATGGCCCCAGAGGTGGCCGCCGTGGAGCGCAAAGGTGGCTACAATGAGCTGTGTGACATCTGGGCCCTGGGCATCACCGCCATCGAACTGGGCGAGCTGCAGCCGCCTCTCTTCCACCTGCATCCCATGAGGTCAGCAGAACACTTGCCCCTGGCCTGGCCCAAGAGCCCTGTAACCCTTGACCTCTGACCTGTGGTCTCCACAGGGCCTTGATGCTCATGTCGAAGAGCAGCTTCCAGCCGCCAAAGCTGAGAGACAAGACTCTCTGGTAAGGGCCACATCCCCTGCTGGGGCCCCCCTTTCAGTCCAGCCCAATGTGGGTGGAGTTGCTGTCTGCCGGCTCCCCGGGTTCAGCCTTGAGGGTCTGCCCATCCTGGGTCTCCACAGACCGTCTGCAGGAGTGGGGCCTGGGCCCTGCCTCCGCGCCGGGGACCTGTGTGGACAAGGAAGAAAGGCAGATGGCTGATGGACGCACTGCCATGTCGCAATAGCAGTGTTGCTCAGGCCAGCTGCCCGCAGCCTCAAGCTGGCTCCTTCCTGGGCAGGCTCAGCAGAATGCTCTGGGGTGGGGGCAGGATGCTCTGCTGAGGGCTAACCTGGGCCGGGATTGGGGGGACTCTTGTACCCACTAGGACCCAGAATTTCCATCACTTCCTCAAGCTTGCCTTGACCAAGAATCCCAAGAAGAGACCAACGGCAGAGAAGCTTCTGCAGGTAGGAGGCAGGAGGGTGGAGCAGGGGGCCTGATGCTCCGAAGCAGGGACCAGAAGCCAGGAACCAAGCTGCGCCCCCCTCCATCCTCCAGCACCCCTTCACAACCCAGCAGCTGCCTCGGGCTCTCCTCACACAGCTGTTGGACAAGGCCAACGATCCCCACCTGGGAACCCCCTCTCCAGAAGACTGTGACCTGGAGGTAGGTGAGAGCCCCTGGGGACTGGGTCTTGGCCTGGTCTGTGGGTGAGGAATACAGAGGTGATACAGTCACGTCCCTTCAGCTCGTCTGTTTGCAGCACAGGGAGCTTTGGTCTGCTTGAGCCCACCCCTTAGGAATTGTCCCTGAGCCGGTTTGCCTCCTTTTCGCCCACTCCAATAGGTGCTTGCCCTTGGTCCTGTGAAGTTTGAGGGCCACCTTAACTGAAGATCCTTAACTTAAGCCACCTTCTGTTTTCTCTGTGATCTTTGGCAAGTTCCTTGCTTCTCTGTGCTCATTTTCTCACCTGTGAAAGGAAGGTGTATTTAATCTCACTGTAATCTCAGAGCGTTATTGTGAATACAAACACGTCAGTGTGTATAAAGCACCTCAAGGAATACCAAGTATGAGTTGAGTGTGGGCGTGTGTCCACCGTGTGTGTTCTCTTGTAGACTTATGACATATTTCCGGACACCATTCACTCCCGGGGGCAGCATGGCCCAGCCGAGAGGACCCCCTCGGAGATCCAGTGTGAGTCTGTTTTTGGAAGGGGGAACTGTGGGTGGATTGGGGGGCTGTGTGTATGGATTTGGTGGGGGGCTGTGTGGATTGGGGGGCTATGTATGTAGATCTGGTGATGGAGGGCTGAGTGTGGATTTGGTGGGGGGCTTTGTGTTTGCCTTGTGGGGGGCTCAATGTATACAGTTGGTAGAGTTGGCAGAGGGCTATCTGTGTGGGGTTGGTGGGGGGTTGTGTGTGGAGTTGGTATGAGTTTAGGGATCACTCCTGAGTCCCCTAACCCCTGGATCTGGGCCCCCAGTTCACCAGGTGAAATTCGGCGCCCCACGCAGGAAGGAAACAGACCCACTGAACGAGCCGGTGAGGGGCTGGCTGTGTGACTGGGTGGTCCTTGGGGCAGGGCTAGGGAGCTATGCGGGCAGCCAAGCCTCTCAAATCCAGGAGCCTTGACACCGCAGCAGCCTGGCCCTTAGGCCTGGGAGAGCCGTTCTAACAGACCTGTCCATGCAGGGACCGGGAGGGCTGGGGTATCCTTCCTGGGGCAGGTTTTTTGGGACAGTTGGTGGAGAGTGGCAAAGAGCGATCATGCCTTTCTAAGGTGTGGGCCTGGGACTTCCCTGGTGGTCCAGTGATTAGGCCTCCACGCTTCTGCTGCAGGGGGTGCGGGTTCTATCCCTGGTTGGGGAACTAAGAGCCCACGTGCTCCATGCAGCGTGGGCCTGTCACTCGTTGGAGGAACCCCCCTGCCCCGCCCCCTCCTTCGGCACGTTCCTCTGCCTCAGTCGCTGTGACTGCTGGGCCGTCTGACTCACCGTCTCTGCTCTCGCTGTCTCTTGGTATCAGCATCTCTCTCCGCCCCCACAATCTAGTCTCTCCGCGCCTGTCTCTCTCACGGTCTCCTCTCTCACTCTTGGCGCTTGTCCCTCTTTCACAGTTTCTTTGTCTCTGTTGTCTCTCTCCCAGTTCTCTGGCCTGTTATCATCTCACTTTCCACCTGTCCGTCTGTCTGTCTGCCTTCTCTCTTCCCCCGTCTCTCTAGCACCCTCTCACGGTGCCTGTCTGTCTCTCTGCCTCTCTCCCGGCCTTTCTGACTTGGTTTCCCCATAGTGGGAAGAGGAGTGGACGCTGCTGGGGAAGGAAGAACTGAGCGGGTGAGTGAGGGGGAAGGAAGCTGCAGGGGGGCAGGGGCAGGAGGGCGGGCTGACCTCTGACCCCTCCCCATCCCTGCCCAGGAGCCTGCTGAAGTCAGTCCAGGAGGCCCTGGAGGAAAGGTGAGGGCCCGCAGCCTGGGGAGGTGTGGGGACCGGGCTCATGACCCCAGTACACCTCACATCTCGTCTCCCTCCAATCTGTCCCCAACAGGAGCCTGACCATCCGGCCAGCCTTGGAACTCCAGGTTCAGAGTGGAGGGGAGCTGGGGGTGGGGGTGCTGCTGGCTGAGAGTAGGTTACAGGGTCACTTGCTAACAGCGAGCTGGGTCCCGTGACCCTCTCGCCAGGAGGTGGACTCCCCAGATGACACCATAGGAACCATCAAGAGGGCCCCATTCTTGGGGTCATCTCCCACTGAGCCTCCAGCCGAGGACCTGCAACCCAGTCTCCCAGGTGAGCCCAGGTGTGGGGGAGCAGGAGGCCAGCCCAGGGGTGGTCTGGGACTGGAATTCACGGCTGCTCTGTGCCTGCAGGAACTCCACCACTACCGCACCCAGGCCCTGCCAGTCCTCCCCTGCTCCCCACCGCCTGGGCCACCATGAAGCATCGGGAAGATCCTGAGGTGAGGGGGTGCTGAAGTGGGGTGGGGGAGATGGGAGTCCGTGGGTAAGACCCTGACTCCTTTCCTCCCTCCCAGAGGTCATCTTGCCATGGGCTCCCCCCGACCCCCAAGGTGCACGTAAGTGTTTGTCTCATAGCTCCGCCTCCCGGCCGCCTGCTGTCCTACCAGCTGTTGCCCGCCCCCCCCCACCGCCCCCCACTGCCCCTTAACTTCCTTATCAGCCTCCTGCCTCCTCTCCAGATGGGCGCCTGCTTCTCCAAGGTCTTCAATGGCTGCCCCCTGCGGATCCATGCTGCTATCACCTGGATTCACCCTGTCACCCGGGGTAAGCAGGGATAGGGAGGAAGAAGGAGACTGGGAATCCCTGGCTTGGGCCAGGGGATGTGGCTGACCTCTGACCCCATACCCCAACCTGCAGACCAGTTCCTGGTGGTGGGAGCCGAGGAAGGTATCTATACCCTCAACCTGCATGAACTGCATGAGGATACACTGGAGAAGGTGAGGCCCGGCAGGCAGGGGAGGGCTGGGGGCCGGGGGAGCCTGGGGGGCTGACCGCTGTCCACCTGTTGCTCTGTGGCCTCCAGCTGATTTCGCACCGCTGCGCCTGGCTCTACTGCGTGAACAACGTGCTACTGTCCCTCTCAGGTACCAGGAGGGACGGGCAGGGGGCGGGGCCAGCACCCTGCCCACCAACTCTGATCCCTACTCCCTTCCACCTCCCTCCGCAGGGAAATCCACACACATCTGGGCCCACGACCTCCCAGGCCTGTTTGAGCAGCGGCGGCTACAGCAGCAGGTTCCCCTCTCCATCCCCACCAACCGCCTCACCCAGCGTATCATCCCCAGGTCAGCGACCCTGGGGGAACCCGGCCCTGCGGGATGGGAGCGCCCGGGGAGACAGAGGGACAGAGCCAGGGCTAGAAAATGGCCTTTCCTGGTCCTGAGACCGTTGGGATCTTAGTCATGTCACTTGGCCTCTGTCTGAGGCCCAGTTTCCTTGTTGGTCCATCCAGCTGGTAGCCTCCCCTCCCGCTGCCCCCAGGCCTGTTGGGAGGGAAGGAGACAGTGGATGTGAATATGTCAGGTGAGCCCTTGGTGTCGAGGTGGGTAGGCTGTGGGGCAAATGTCTTCTGAGCACTGGGAAATGGCAGTCCTTAGGCTGGGCTTGGGGACAACAAGTCCCATGAGTCCTTAACACTCAGCTCTAGGGACTGAGGTGAGCCAGAGCTGGGAGGGGCGGGGAGGCCTCAGAGAGGCCAGGCGAGCTTGTGGGAGTTGACAGCATGTGGGGGTCTTCCAGGCAGATGCGTTAGAGAACAGCCTTCCAGCGAGGGAGGAATACTTGTGAATTCTAGGCGATCTGGGGAGGTAGAAGGTGTTTGGCCTGAATGGGGGAGGGGGAGCAGCCCAACGGGAAGCCGTCCAGGTGGCAGAGCCCTGCCCTTGATGCCAGGCTGGGATCTGGGCCTTGTCCAACTGGCAGTGGCACCAGGAGCATCTGAGTAGGATCCCTCTGTATGTTAGTCAGGACTCTTCCTGTTGCGGGTGATTTCACTCACTGGCTTCAGCACAAAAGGGAATTTAGTGCCTCGGGTAGGAGTGGGGTCTGGTGCTCCCCTGCTGGCTCACACAATGGAGAAACCATCCGCTATTCAGGAGACCCAGTTTCGATCCCTGAGTTGGGAAGATCCCCTGGAGAAGGAAATGCAACCCACTCCAGTATTCTTGCCTGGAGAATCCCATGGACATAGGAGCCTGGCCGGCTACCGTCCATGGGGCCACAAAGAGTCAGACAGGACTGAGCGACCAAGGACTGACATACAGCACTGGCAGGAGTAGGGTCAGCTGCAGGCCCCGCTGGACCCAGGCTGCAGTGGCTGCCGTAGGCATCTCCTGCACCTCCTGGCTCTGTTTTCCTCCTGTCACCGACATCCTCAAGTAGGCTTTCCTGTCCGGTGACAGCTACCTGCAAATCCACCCAGTGTTCCACTAACTAATAAACCCGTGGAACTGGAACCTCTGTCCCCAAGTAATTGCCCCCACAGGCCAATTCTCATGGGCCTGGCTGAGGGCTGTGCCCACTTCTGGGCTGGTCACTGCGGCCATGAGATGAGGAGCCAGGGGCCAGGTAGGCCTGGTCACGTGCCCTCTCCTGGAGCTGGGGAGGGAGAGAGGGGCTTGTCTGGGCAGATGGACACAGGAGCGTCTGCCAACGGCTGTGGTGACAGCGGGAAGGATGAATGGAGTGGGAGACCGATGAGAGGGCCTGGAAAGGAGGCCAGTGTAGTGATCTGAGACGAGGGAGGGCAGTGGGAACTGGACGGACCCAAGCAGTATTTAGGAAGTAGGGTTGACAGGATTTGGGGACTAATGAGAGTGTGTGTGAGGGGAAGGAAAGGACTGGGAGACCCCCAGTGAGCAGACTGAGGTGTGTTTATGAGGTGGTGTGTGCATGCTAAGTCTCTTCAGTCATGTCCGACTCTGTGCGCCCCTCTGGGCTGTAGCCTGCCAGGCTCCTCTGTCCACAGGTGGTAGAGGCCCTCATTCAGTCATCCAGCACCTGGTATGTGCCAGGCAGTCTCCTGGGCATGAGAACCTCCTGGGAACTAGAGCCCCTTGTACTCTCAGACTCTGTCAAGAGGGACAGACAACAATGGACATGAGGAAGGAGTCAGTGCAGTGGTGACATGGAGGAAGGTCAGGAGGCGGTATTCATCAGGGTGGTCAGGAGGGATGTCCCTGAGAGGGTGCTGCTTGAGCAAAGACTTGGAGGGGGTGACGGGGTGAGTCCTGAGAATATCTAGGGGGGTGGGGGCTGGAGCCCAGGGGCCAGGCCTGCTTGTATGAGGAACAGAAAGGAATTGGGGGTCCACGTGGAGGGAGTGAGAAAGGGCTGGCCTCCGAGGGCCCTGTCGCCACAGAGAGGCCTTTACCCCTGACTGAGTGTGCCCTGGCTGAGGTTCTCACAGGTCAGTCTGGCTGCTGCGCGGGGAGGAGGCTGGAGGAGACGCAGCCGGAAGCAGAGGCCTCTCAGGGGGATGGTGGGACGCGATGGCGCCTCGGACCGGGGTAGCGGTGAAGGACAGAGGCAGTTAGATTCCAGTTTTATTTTCAAAGCCAGACCAACAGGATTTCCTGACAGTTGGTGGATGGGAGAGAAAGAGAGGAGTCAAGGATGACTCCAGGGTTTTGGCCTTGGCAACGGAAGGATGGAGCTGTCATCAGCTGCGGGTGGAGCAGAATTCAATGGTGTCACGTGGAGTTTGAAATGTACTAGACAGGCCTCAGCTCTTGTCGGGGAGCGGGGGGTGGCCCTGAGATCTGAGCAGGCAGGTGGGCTGTGGGCTTAGACATCGCCATGACCAGGTGGGTGGTGGAAGCTGGAGGAGGAGGGTGGGGGAGGCTGGGCTGTGGCTACACCCACTGGGGAGCTGAGGGTCCCAGGCCCTTCGTGCAGCAGGCTTACTTGAGGACCGCGTTGGGAACCCAGTGGCCTCAGGGCTTCCCGAGCTCAGTCCCAGGCCAACCTCTGCTTTGGCCCAGGACCTGCGGGAAATAGGCCCCACACGGCCCCGAGTCACAGGCAGCTTTGGATGTGTGTTCGGGAAGTCACAGAGGAGATCTGGAATTGTTGGAGAAAAAAACAAAAAAAGAAATCTGCCTCTGTCCCATCTGAAGGCCAACTGGGAAGAGAGTGGAAGGAACAGGGGAGAGAGAAGCGAAGGCAGGGAGAGAGAAGGGCTGGCTTCCTCGGCGGGGCCCACGTCCCAGCAGAGGGTGCAGACAGGCCCTGGATCACAGGGAGAGGTGGGTGGGCTGCTGGCATGCTGCGCTGTTCCTCAGAGCAAGAAACGGGTTCGGAACGTCCCCTGAGGGCTTGGGGGACAGCAAGTAACCAGAGCAAGGACCCTGCTTCTCCCTCAGCACCAAAGGACGCCACCCACTGGCCACCCTGGGGAATAGCCTCAGCGGAAACAGGAGGGCAGGGCGATCGCTCTTTTGTTGCGCGTCTCCATCTCCTCTGGCCAGCTTGCCCACCTGTGACATGTGGCATGGGGGGTGGGAACTGGCCCTGAGTGCTCTGGCTGAAGGAGGAGCTGGAGCCTGAATCAGCTTCCAGCCCTTCCACACCCTCATTTCTTCATTTTGGGCTTCCTGAATGGCTTAGTGGTAAAGAACCCGCCTGCCAATGCAGGAGATGCGGGTTTGATCCCTGGGTTGGCAAGATCCCTTGGAGGAGGAAGTGGCAACCCACTCCATTATTCTTACCTGGGAAATTCCATGGACAGAGAAGCCTGACCAGCTATAGTCCATGGGGTCGCAAAAGAGTTGGACATGACTTAGCAACTAAGCAACAACATTTGCATCCTTCCTTTCCTTAAAAGGGATTTTCAATGACTGAAAATAGGTGGGAAAGTATTAATAGGGGATGAGAAAAACTAGCCTTCTGTGAGCGCACCTGCTGTGGCGGGCTCTGCTGCAAGCCCTCTGCTGAGTTAACTCATACAAACCTCACTGTGATCCTGCAAGGTGGGTTCCATGGTCACACACACCCCCACCCCACTCCCACCCCCGGCCCCTTTCTGCAGAGGAATCAGCTGAGGCATAGAGAAGTGAAGTGCCTTGCTCACCCAGTCACAGTTAGAGGTAACTCTGTGAGCCAAACCCCTGGTCTGGATGTACGGGCTCCAGGCTGTCAAGTTGGATGCTGGAGCCACAGGCCCAGCGTCACATCCACTTCTCAGTTACTCCAGCAAGTGGCTTGGCCATCAGAGCCTCAGTCTGCCACCTGTGAGGCAGGGAAGGTGTTAGAACCCATCCTTAGGGCTCTGCGGGGGGGCGGGCCTTGCCCAGGATGGCGCCGGGGACACCTGCCCTGGTTGCTGTCCCCCCAGGCGATTTGCCCTGTCCAACAAGATTCCTGACACCAAAGGCTGCCTGCAGTGTCGTGTGTGGCTGCCGCGTCCTGTTCCACGTCCTACCGCTGGAGGCTGGCCTGACGCCGGACATCCTCATCCCACCTGGTGAGCTGGAGGGCCAGGCTCTGTGTGAATGAGTGTGTGTGTGCTCACGTGATTTGTATACATAGAGAGAGAGTGCCCCACTGTTTACAGCTCCACGGAGACCTTGGGGACCCCGAAGCTCCCAGCTTCCCTTCAGCCGGGTCTCCCCATAGAAGATGTCACTAGACCAAAGGGCTCAGCAGCTAAGACGCCCTGATGACCCCGTGGGGGCTGCAGGGACAGCCAAGCTGGGGAAGGCAGGAACCAGAGGCCTTCATTCTGAGCAAGGAAGCAGGATCCTGGGTGCTGAGGCAGCTCAGGGAGTGAGGGGAATGGCGGTGGGTGAAGGAAGGGGAAGGCACCCTGGACCATATGGTGCCCAAACTCCCAGCCAGGGGTCTCATGAGATTTCACTCTTGATTCTCACAATGGCCCTTCGAGGTAGGCAGTGTCATGCCTGGGTTACAGTTAAGGAACCTGAAGCTCAGAGATCCGAGGTCATATAGTGACTGAGTCTTGAAGCCTGGCTCCCCTGACTCCAGGGTCCCTGCTCTCCCGTGGCTCCCTGGGGTTCAGCCCGGCTCCCTGTGAGCCTACGGATGGGTCACTTTGGCGCCAAACCTCAGTTCCCCAGCTGTGCAGTGAGATCCAGTGCCATGATGCCCCTGGGATGCTCTTGTGGTGAAGGCTGCCTAACAACCGGCCCCCCACCCCATGTCATCCTCTTGGGGCCAGAGCAGGGGCTGGCGGCTCAGCCAGGCCGTGTCTCCCTTCTCTAACTGCAGAGGGGTTCCCAGGCTCTGCCCAGCAGGTGATCCAGGTGGACAGGGACACAGTCCTGGTCTGCTTTGACCGTGAGTGTTCCTGGGATCAGGGCCAGGGTGTTGGAGGGGGTGGTGAGGGAGCCCCCCCACCCATCAGCACCCTTCACCTCTCCACTGTGCAGGCTGCGTGAGGATCGTCAACCTGCTGGGCGAGCCCACAGCCACGCTGGCGCCCGTGCTGACCTTTGACTTCCCCATTGAGACTGTGGGTGAGTGAACTGGACGGTGGGGGGTGGGGATGGGTGCAGAAGATGCCAGCCTGGAGCACATGATGTGGCCCTGGGGCTCGGGGCTGGCAGCAGAACAAGGAGGCAGGTCCCCCAGCCCCTCTTGAGAGCCACCTGGCCACCTGCAGTCTGGTCTGCGACCCATTCTTGGGCCCAGGGCGTAGCTGGGGGAACCAGTGGCCCCTGGGCAGGCACGGGGCTGATGGTAGCCCGGCCCTTCCCAGTGTGCCTGCAGGACAGCGTGCTGGCCTTCTGGAGCCATGGGATGCAGGGCCGCAGCCTGGACACCAATGAGGTGAGGGGGACTCGGGAACCTAGGCCTTCCCACCTTCTAGGAGAGGACGCGCTGGGGTAGCTTCAGCATCCCATTTCTTCCCAGGTGACCCAGGAGATCACAGATGAGACGAGAATCTTCCGAGTGCTTGGTGCCCACAGGTAGGACATGGTGCCCGGCCTCCCCATCAGTCACCCCCCAACACACACACAGATGGTGGTGCCATGTGCCTTCCCACCTTGCTCACCTCCATTCTCCCTCCCCTCCAGAGACATCATCCTTGAGAGCATTCCCACCGACAAGCCTGGGGCTCACAGCAACCTCTACATTCTCACAGGCCACCAGAGCAGTTACTGAGCAAGTCACCTAGCTGGCTTGGCCAGGAGCGCCCCCGCCTGCCCCACACAGCAATTCTTTCAGGCAGGGGGGCCCCTCCGAGATCAGAGGAGCTCAGGCCCTGGTTCTGCTGGTCTGAAAGGGCAGAAATCCTGAGAAGAGTCTGGGGGCTGGGGAAGGGAGGGGCCCGCAGCCCACACCTCCGCAATAACTGGACCAGAAGAAGCTGCTGTCATATCCCCCTCCCAAGCGGGCAGCTGGTTCCCAGAGCGCTGTGGCAGGGCCCTGAGCAGTTTGGGGGCAGCCCGGGGCTATCCATTCCATTTTGTTCCACTTTTCCTTTCCACTCATCCTGCCAAGAGCCTGCCCCTGCGCTCCATCCTGGGGAACGTGGTATTTAAAAGAGAGACTATATTGGCATTAAATCTGGTTTGATTTTATTCCACTGGTCCCTTTGGGTCAGGGGACACTGAGCCCACTGCCTCATTTCCCACCACATCTCCCTCCAGCGCATCTTTCTTGGCACCAGGGGCTGTGGATGAAACATGGAAGGGGGGCCACCAGTGTTCTGGTGACTTTCATGAGGAGCCAGGCAGAGGTGAAGGGGAGGTCTCGGCCCCTCGTGAGAGCTCAGGGTCGCTGTGTCTTCCTGGGCTTCCCTGCTCAGGATGAGCTCCTCCCCTGCCTTGCAGTGTAAGGTCTCCTTTGTGGCCAAGGAGTTATGCTGATGGGGCGGGGGGAGGCCCCCCAACAACGGATTCATCTAGAGGACCCCTGTCCCAGGTGGGGGCCCGCCAGGTAGCCTGTGGAAGGGCCCAGAAGGGGCCAGCCGAGGGCTGCTCTACCCAGCCCCAGGGAGGCTGCAGCCTGTGGAGACAGCTTGTCATGACCTGCATCCCGTGCCCAGGCCTGTGGCTGCCTCCCACCTGCTGTCTGCTCTGTCAGGCTGGGATTACTAAATACGGGCGTGCTCATCAAGCTAGGCTCTGGGACAATTAGCCTGTGTCCATTTAACAAGAGTTCCTGGGCTCCCAGAGGGATTCCCTACTCAGATGTGGGCCAGCCCCCAGTGAGGGCAGCTGTCCTCCTTGCTGGAGCCTACATCTCGAGGGCACATCCATCCACCTGTTGCCGACTTTGGGCTTTCCATGGTCATTCTCCCATGTGTCCCTCTTAGACAGTGCTGTACCCCGAGGCCAGGGAGCCCCGAGGGGTCCCAGACACTGAGCAGGCTGCCCTTGAGCAGTCTTTGGGTAGGTAAGGCAAGACCAAGGTTACAGAGGGTGGGGAGGCCTAGGGCTGGAGGAGGAGCCTGAGCAAAGGTCCAAGGTCAGTTTGGCCCAGTCACCTTCCTTCTGATGTTCAAGTGTTGGATGAGAACTCTGCAACTGTGGGCCCTTGGTAAATAATTGATAAATGAATGAAGTGCTGAGTGGGTGGGTAGATGGCAGCCCCGTCCCTAGTGCTCCTGGCAGGGGACCCCAAGCCATCTCGTGTTCGTCACACTGTCCCCTTGTCCACCCTCCTGCAGAGGTTTGACTGCTCTCTTAGGGACAAGGGAGGGTTTCTCAACTGAAATGGGGGCTCAGATCAGGAGCGGAGACAGAGCTCCTGTGTTCTCCCTGAGACCCAAAGGAAGGCAAGAGGCACCTTCCGGGTTCTGAAGGTTTGTCTGCACCCACTCGGGGGGCATTCAGTGGGCCAGGTGGAGGGGGTGACAGGAATATGATTCCTAACTTCCGTTTTTCCAGATTTCTTGGCAGAGGTGCAGGATTGAGGAGTGCCAGGGTTGGGGAGGTGAGCTTCTGCTCAGTGGACATAGACCCCAACCTTTGACGCCTAGGTACCCTGGGAGGACGTTCAGCCCAGAGCAGCAGGCAGCAGACAGTGCCACCTTGTGGCAGGCCAGTCCCCCAACACACTAAAGCAGTTGGGGGGTGGTCAGACTGTAAAGTGCCAAAAGCAGGGGGCCTGGGAAAAGCAGGGACATTTGATAAAATATTTGCTGCCAGCAAAGGCTGGCTGCCAGCCAAAGAAAGGTCAAGAAGCCAGGGAATATGCACTGAAAGACCAAAATTGTTATTTTATCTGTGTTTTTTTAATAGATAACCCTTGGCCATAGCACATAGATTTTTTTTTTTGGGGGGGAGCATACCAGGTTGCCTGTGGAACTCACCCCCCACTGCCCCTGCCCCAGACCAGGGACCGCTGAGTCTTAACCACTGGACCACCAGGGAAGTCCCACAATAAAAAAAAAAAATACAAACTAGATAACAATGACAAGTCTATCCAGGTCCCAGTTACTTATGAACTCTCTGGAAGTACTCATGCATGTTTAAGCAGTTCAGTATGCATTAGTCTTTCCCCTTTCTTACATGGTGATATATTCCACACAGTGGAATATATCTTGCCCTTTAAAATCTGTCCTGGAGAGTTGGAGAGAATTCCCTGGCAGTCCAGTGGTTAAAATTCTGTGCTTTCACTGCTCGGGGCCCAGGTTTGATCCCGGGTTGGGGAACTAAGATCCCATAAGCTGTGCAATATGGCCAAAAAAAAAAAAAAAAAAATCTGTCCTGGAGAACTTTCCATGATCAGTGCCTCCACCTTTGTTCTTTTATAGCTCATGATGTTCCACTGTATGGGTTTCCCATAACTAATGTGAATTAACCATAGTTAGATCCTATTGATGGAAATTTCAGTTGTTTCTATTAGTGTGATATTACAAATGATGCAGCAATAAATACTCCTAAGCCAGTGCCACTCTGTACATACTCAAGTGCCCCATAGGATAAATTCCTGGAAGTGGCCTTGCTGGGTCAGAACTGGCTTTGTCCTTGTGACAGCTACTGTCACATTGCCCTCCCTGAGCAGAAGCCACTGGGATGGGTCAGATCAGCCTCTCTAAGCCATCCTGTGGGTAAGTGGAAGAGGCAAGTCACCCCAGGGTGTTTGGGTAGCTGGCCCATACCCCGAGTCAAGTGAGGGTCAGGGTGAGAGGTAACAACCAGATGTGTGCTTCAGGACAGCAGGGCATCTGCTGTGCTCACGGTGGCACGTCCAGTCACTGCTTGGTACTCAGAAGGCTTTTTGAGTGAAGGAATGAATGTGATATTCTGACAAGGAGGCCCTGCAGTTGGGTCCCTGGACCGGGTGAGCTTGCTGGGCTATATTTTCCCCAGGCAGACCATATCCTATATTGACCTGCAGGGTGTAGGGAGAATTGGAAGTATTGTTAATACACATAATCCAACAAGACAGATGAATCATAGAGATGTAATGTCAAGTGAAAACAGCAAATTGCATAAAATGACACACAGCATGCTGGCAAAAATAAGCAAAACTAAACCATCTATTAAAGAATCCACCTTCAATGCAGGAGATGTGAGTTTGATCCCTTGGTTGGGAAGACTCCCTGGAAGAGGGCATGGCGACCCACTCCAGTATTATTGCCTGGAGAACCCCATGGATAGAGGAGCCTGGTGGGCTACAGTCCATGGGGTCACAAAAGAGTTGGACAGGACTGAAGCCACTGAGCACACACACATGATCATACGCTTAGGAGATAAGGGGAAGAAAAGCACAAAATTCAAACGACGGTCCCTGTGAGGGGAGTGGGACTGGGGTAAGGAAGGACCTCAGGAATTTGCGAAGGTAATATCTTGGTTCTCAGGCTAGCTGGGGGGTGGGGTGGGGGCGGGGTTCATGGACATTCAATTTATAGCTCAGTTCCTAACACAGGTGAGGTTCCGCATACTTTTTGTATATATCAAATACTATGTAAGGGACTTCCCTGTGGTCCAGTGGATCCATGCTTCCACTGCAGGGGGCAAGTTCCATCCCTGGTCAGGGAACTAAGATCCCCCATGCCACGTCACAGGCTTCCCTGGTAGCTCAGCTGGTAAAGAATCCGCCTGCAATGCAGGACACTCCAGTTCAATTCCTAGGTCAGAAAGATCCCCTGGAGAAGGGATGGGCTCCCCACTCCACTATTCTTGGGCTTCCCTGGTGGCTCAGATGGTAAAGAATCCGCCTGCAATGCAGGAGACCTGGGTTCAATCCCTGGGTTGGGAAGATCTCCTGGAGGAGGGCATGGCAACCCACTCCAGTATTCTTGCCTGGAAAATCCCCATGGACAGAGGAGCCTGGTGGGCTGCAGTGTATGGGGTTGCAAAGAGTCAGACACGACTGAGTGAGCAAGCACAGCAGTGACCAAGCACAGCACATGCCATGTCATAAATCCAGAAGAAAAAAAAAGCTATGTAAGAAAACATAAGTTTAAATATTTTAAGGCAAGCACTCAAAAAACTCAGCAATGGCTTAGAAAACAAAACCAAGAAGCCAACATTTCCTAGACGATGAAATCAAGTGGAGATAATGAAACCAATGTTCTGTGACAAACTATGGGCAGGTCCCTCTCTCTGTAGCTGCTTTCTTCTGTTGCTTCTTTTAAAACAGCTTTATTGAGGTATAATCGGCATACAATGAACAGCATATATTAAAAATGTACTGTTTGATGACTCTCACACACATATACCTGTGAAGCCATTATTGCAATCAAGATAAATGTTTCCATCGCCCCAAAAGCTTCCTCTTGGTAATCAGGCCCTCCTGTTCCTCCTTGCCTCCCCAGCCCCAAGTAACCACTGATCTGTTTTGTCACTAGGCATGAATTTGCATATTTCAGAATTTATGTAAATACAAACATATGGTATGTACTCTTTTTATTTGGCTTCTTTCACTAAGCATAATTAGTTTCAGATTTATCCATGTTGTTTCATATATTAATGGTCATTCTTTTTATTGCCAAGTAGTATTCCATTGGATGGATGTTCCACAGTTTGTTTAGCTAATTGCCTGTTGATATACATTTGGGCTATTTCCAGCTTTGGACTATTTATTGCAAATAAAGTTGCTATGAACATTCACATACAAGTCTTTGTGTGGATATAAACTTCCATTTCTCTTGGGTAAATGCTTTTGAGTGGAAGGGCTGGGTCATGGGGTATGTGTTGTTTCACTTTAAAAAATTTTTTTGTTCAATTCTGATTTTTTTAAAAAAATCTTGTTTCACTTTTTAAGAAAATGCCAAGCTGTTTTGCAAAGTTGTTGGGACCATCTGCATTCCAACCAGCTGTGCAGGAGAGTTCTAGTTCCTCCAAGTCTTCGTTAACACTTGGTATTGTCTGTCTTGTTTAATTTTAGCCACTCAAATAGATGTGTGGTAGTATCTCATAGTGGTTTTAACTTGTATTTCCCTCATGACTAATGATGTTGAGCATCTTTTCCTATGCTTATTTATCATATACAGACACACCTCAGAGATAGTATGGGTTCAGTCCCAGGTCACTGCAATAAAGGGAGTCCTGTGAATTTTTTGGTTATAAAGAACATATGACAATTATATTTATATTATACTAAGTCTATTAAGTGTGCAACAGCATTATGTCTTTAATGTACATACCTTAATTTAAAAATATTTTATTGCTAAAAAAATGCTAACCATCATCTGAACCTTCAGCAAATGATATCTTTTTGCTGGCTGAAGGTTTGAAATATTGTTAGAACTACCAACATGTGATGTTCCCTTCTCCAGAGGATCTTCCCCACCCCGGGCTTGAACCCAGGCCTCCTGCATCACAGGTGGATTCTTTACCGGCTGAGCCACCGGAGAAGCCCTCAACCTGTAATGGAGAGATACAAAGGAGGCAAATGCTTCTGGAAAAATGGCACCGATGGACTTGCCTTACACAGGGTTGCTACAAACCTTCAATTTGTAAACACAATATGCAAAGTACAATAAAATGAAGTGCAATAAAGCGAGGTCTGCCAGTATACATGTGTGTGTTCAGTCACTCAGCTGTGTCCCACTCTTTGCGGCCCCATGGACTGTAGCCCGCCAGGCTCCTCTGTCCATGGGATTCTCCAGGCAAGAAGCCTGGAGCTGGTTGTCATCTCCTTCTCCAGGGGATCGTCCCAACCCAGGGATGGAACACGTGTCTCCTACATTGGCAGGAGGATTCTTTACTACTCATGCCACCCAGGAAGCCCGCCGGTATACATATTCCTTGGGAAGGTGTCTATTCAAATCTTTTGCTTTTAGAAATAGGGTTGTCAGACTTACCTGGTGGCTCAGTGGATAAGAATCCACCTGCCAATGAAGGGAACGTGGGTTCCATCCCTGGTCCAGGAAGATTCCACATGGTGCGGAGCAACTAGGCCCTTACACGACAACTAATGAGCCGTGTGCCACGACCACTGAAGCTCATTCCCACAAGAGAAGAAACTGCAATGAGAAGTCCAAGCACTGCAACAAATAGTCGGCCCTGCTCACCGCAACTAGCGAAAGCTGGCTCACAGCAACGAAGACCCAGCACAGCTACAAATAAACATTTTAAAAAATAGAACTAAATTCCAGCTTTGAGATACAAATGACATAAAACATATTGAAAGGTTCAAGTGTACCATGTGATGATTTGATACACATATATTGTGAAATGATTACAACAGTAAGTTTAGTTAACACCACATGAGTTGTCTGTTTTCTTACTGCTGAGTTTTGAGAGTATGGATAAAAGTCCTTTACCAGATATGTGATTTGTACATAGCTATCTTGCTATGATTTCTAATTTGTACCCAACTCACAAATTCCAATACCTATCAACCCCTTGTTCAAATTAATACCTTTAATAGGAAGGTGTATGTAAATATACATGGTTTTCCAGGAAAAAATTATGAAAAGTACTTGGTGCATCATGTGTGCTCACTTGCTGGTAGACATTCCTAATTTGGGCAATGAAATCATGTGTGAGGCTCTGCAAAGGCTGGACATGGTGGGGGAAGAGAGGGGTCAGAAACATCCCATGGATTTTCTCCCTCCAGGCTCAACTAGCTCCACGATACTGCCTCTCAATCTTGCCAGGGGCTTGGAGTTTCTGAACTATCAAATTAGAATGAAATGATGCCAGGGATTCGAAGGGTGTCAAAACTTCTTTTTGGCCGCACTGCATCATATGCAGGATCTTAGACCCCCGCTGCTGCTGCTAAGTAGCTTCAGTCGTGTCCGACTCTGTGCGACCTCATAGACGGCAGCCCACCAGGCTCCCCCATCCCTGAGATTTTCCAGGCAAGAACACTGGAGTGGGTTGCCATTTCCTTCTCCAGTGTGTGAAAGTGAAAAGTGAAAGTGAAGTCGCTCAGTCATGTCTGACTCTTAGCGACCCCATGAACTGCAGCCTACCAGGCTCCTCCATATATGGGATTTTCTAGGCAAGAGTACTGGAGTGGGATGCCATTGCCTTCTCCACTTAGACCCCTGACTAGGAATAAAATGCATGCCCCCTGCAGTGGAAATGCAGTCTTAACCACTGGGCCACCAGAGAAGTCCTAAAACTTATTCTTTACTTTCTGACACTGATTCTCTGACACAACTGGATGTCCCACAGTTCAGTTCAGACATGAACTACCCCAAGTTGGTGAAGATCCCACACGTTAAGGGGTTCAACCACAAGACCTGGGCCTCCAGGCTACCCACACCTCTGACCAACTTTGCTACAAATTTGGTAGTTCCCACAGCCCACTTCAGGTTCAATAAGTTGCTAGAATGACACAAAGAACTCGGGAAAGTGCAGTATATATGACTGCTGCATTATTTTAAAGGCTACATTTAAATGAAGAGCTAGAAAAAGAGATGCATTGGGCACAAGGTCTGGACGAGTCCTGAGGTCAGGAGCCTCACCCTGATGCATGCAATCAGAGTGCATCACCCTCCTGTTACATTCGTTTGTTCACCAACCTGGAAGTTCTCCAAACTTCGTTGTTTAGAGTATTTATTGAGGCTTTATTACATAGGTGTGATTGAATAAATCACTGGTCATGTGATTGAGTGCAATCTCCAGCCTCTCTCCCCCGCCCAGAGGTGGAGTGTAGGGCTGAAAATTGGTTGGTTTTTCTGGTGACCAGTGACCATCCTGAAGCTCACTCAGGGGCCTCAGAGCTGGCAGTGAGTCTCCCTGTTAGCATAAATCCGGCTACGGGTCCAAAGGGCCTCATTATGAATAATGAAAGACACTCCCAGCACTCAGGAAATCCCAAGGGTTTCTGGAGCTCTTTACCAGGATCTGGGGACAAAGACCAGGTAGATGTGTTGCTGTTTTCATTATACTGCAGCCTGGTTTAAAATCAGGAGGCATCTGTGTATAATTCTTGACCCCACAGCTCAGGAGACAGTCCATTAAAACCAACCACCACGCCTCCAATCTCATTCTATCAGTGCAGTGCCCTGTACAGTAGCATTAATGTCCATATGCTACAGACAAAGAAGCTGAGATGTACAGACAATAAATGACTTCCCTAGTTGCCAGCTGATGGGTGGCTGGCCTGGGTCTGTAGGACTCCAACTTGCCTCAAAACTGGGGAGTCTGTTCCATGGTCCTCAGCCAGAAAGCAGCATGGCCAACATTCCAATCCCGTTCTGCCAAATAGGAGTCTTGGACCGACAGACTACACTAGTTAAGTTGTGTGACCTTGGGGTAGTTATTTAACCTCAATGTGCCTGGGTTTTCTCATCTATACGTAACAGATAATACCCATCTCTGAAGGTGGTTGTGAAGATGAAATTAGCTACTACAAGGGAAAGAAGTCAGAATAGATCAGGAAGTAGCCAACGTCCAAACTCTTTTAACTATTCATCTGTCCTTAGAACACTTACAAAAACTGATCATATACTTGACCACAAATGAAACTGTATTTTTTAATTTTAGAGATTTTAAGACCATATTCTGAAGAATCTAAAAAATACATAAACTCATAAAAGGACAACCAAAACATTTTAACTTGGTAATTTTTTAAAAAACACTCTCACAAAAATCCTAGAGGAAACGACTAGAAGGCAGTGACAATGACTGCCCCATGAGAGTCACAGCTGCAGCCTTTACCATTATTAGTACGGCAGTATCATTATCAACAGTAATAGTACATTTTTATTTGTGTGTTAGTCTCTCTCCTTCGCTAGACCATGATTTTCTGGAAGCAGCGGCTGAATTTTATTCAGGGTCATACCTGTCAAGCTGTTTTATATCTAGTAGTTGCTCAAACATCGAAAGATTCTTTTCTCCCCTCCTCCCTAGAATTTGTTGTATTTACAGATACTGTTTCCTTATTTTTCAGATGATTTAAACATTTCTATTTTTCCTTTTATGTCCACAATATTAACTTCATTTTTATTAGTTACACTTGCTCAGTATAAAAAGTTGAAAGTAATACATAGAAATAGGAGAAAAAGTAAAAATTACCTAAGATCCCACTAACAGTGGAAATTTGGTGATTGTTCTGTCAGTGCCTTTTTTTTGTTTCGCAGCATGGCTTGTGAGATTTGTTCCCTGACTAGTGATCAAACTTGGGCCCCTGGCAGTGAAAGCGGCAAGTCCTAACCACTGGGCCATAGGGAACTACCTCAATGCATTTCTTTATATCTATACAGTTGTATAGCAGCAGGCAATGGCAACCCACTCCAGTACTCTCGCCTGGAAAATCCCATGGACGGAGGAGCTTGGTAGGCTGCAGTCCATGGGGTCGCTGAGAGTTGGACACAACTGAGCAACTTCACTTTCACTTTTCCTTTCATGCATTGGAGAAGGAAATGGCAACCCACTCCGGTGTTCTTGCCTGGAGAATCCCAGGGACAGGGGAGCCTGGTGGGCTGCCGTCGATGGGGTCGCACAGAGTCGGACACGACTGAAGTGACTTAGCAGCAGCAGCATACAGTTGTATGTTTGTAAATGCTTTTAAACTGTGGTGTTAGAGAAGACTCTTGAGACTCCCTTGGACCGCAAGGAGATCAAACTCGTCAATCCTAATGGAAATCAGCCCTGAATATTCATTGGAAGGACTGATGCTGAAGCTCCAATACTTTGGTCACCTGATGTGAAAAACTGACCATTAGAAAAGACCTTGATGCAGCGAATGATTGAAGGCAGGAGGAGAAGGGGACAACAGAGGATGAGATACTTGGATGGCATCACCAGCTTGGACATGAGCTTGAGCAAGCTCTGGGAGTTGGGGATGGCCAGGGAAGCCTGGCGTACTGTTTGGGGTCACAGACACGACTGAGCGACTGAACTGAACTGAAATGGGATTACATCATATATTTTTTAAAAACATGAAAAATATTTAAAAAATATGTTGGGTTCTTAAAATGTATTGGATAACTTCCAAGTACCTATTTCCCTCTTCAGTGTCTTAACTGATGACTTGTGTATCCTCTGTGGCTTTCTCCATACTCATAATCATACGCCTACACATGTATGGACTTTGTTTTACAAAAATAAGATTATGTAATAGCTATTTCTCTGCTTCTTTTCTTATTCAGTAACAATATAGCACAGAAGTCCCTCCAGATCAGTAGGTATGGATTATCTCCTTTTCAAGGCTGCCTACTAATCCAGGTTATGGATAATCTACTTCATTTAACAAATCACATATTGATGGTAGTTTTCTTTGTTTCCAGGTTTCTGCAGTTACAAACAAGACTGCAGTAAACGCAATAGAAGACTTTGAACACATTATATTATGTAATCACATGCCTTATGTAGGGGCAGATTCCCAGGAGTGGGATTACCACATTGAACATGTTTTTTCTTTTTCTCTGAAAGGGGTACCAAATTTTTTTTAAGCCACACCATGCAGGATTTCAGTTCCCCAACCAGTGCCCCCATGCATTGGGAGTACAAAGTCTTACCCACTGGACCACCAAGGAAGTCTTGAGAGGTACAATTTTAATAGATAAGAGAATGCTTTTCAAAAAAGAATTCAAAGTAGTAACTTAGCTTTTTTTTTCCCGATTGTTGACGATGTCTCATATCACCTTTAATTTGCATTTCATGCTTAGGAGGTTGGTACTTTTCATGTTTTCGTGGCTATTTGGATTAGATCTTCTGAGACTTGTTTATTCAGTCTTTGCTCATCTTCTGTTGTTTTTCGCTTTTAAATTATTTTTAAGACTTCTTTGCATATTACAGATATTAGCTCTTTATCATATGTATGGCAAGTATACTTTCCTAATGTATTATTGTCTGTTGATGTTTATCATAGGTTCCTCTGGTAATTAACTTTTTTTGTTTTCTGTCTTCATAAAGTCTCTAACCCTAGATGACTCCGATAATATCCTAAATTGTATTGTGTCTGTTTTATTCTTTAAATTTAGGACTCTATATACCATTTACTAGCTAAATCTTTTCCTTACTGAATTGAAACACCACCTTTTTGGTCAGACTCTTTCCTATTGAACTAATCTGTCTTTCCTACAACAATACCACATTGTTTCATTAGTGTGTCTTTTGTATTCTATTTGGAAAGGCAAGCTCGTCAACCTCGTTTACAAATTTCCCCACTATTTTCAGTTACTTTATTTGACTTAAAAGATGATCTAATCAATCTCAACTTCGCTGGGATTATAATCAAAACGCACGGTATATGCAAACTAATTTTTGAATTGATAACTTCATATTGCTTTCCACCAAAGATATGTGTACCTCCATTGGCTCGGATACCGTTTCTAATTCTTCAATAAGACACTATTTTATAGCTCCTTTTTCCTCCCACTTTTTATTTTTTTCAAAAACAGGAAGTCCCCTTTTACCTGTGTTGTCGACGGATCCGGTTTACCGGTCCGCGCCAGCCCCTCCCCCGCCCCTCGGTTCCGGGTTACCATGGGAATCGAGGGTTGACGTCACCAAGGGCTTCCGCGCCGGACCCGAGGGTCAACGGTGAAACCAGGGACAGTGACAGGGCTTTGCCCCATCTATGCATGCGCGCTCCTGTGCCGCTCCTCCCCGACCCCAATTCTTGTTCCGCCACGGCTTTTCCGCCGCGACCTCTAGCTTAAACCCAGCGAAATTACTCCCCGGGGAAAGGGAGAGAGGAAAAAAAAAAAAAATGAACCAGCGACAGCCAATCCCAGGACATTACGACGCAACGGAGATTGATTGACACCACCAGCCCAACCAATGGGAGAGCGCTTGGCCCCATACGTCACAGAGTTTACCCCACCCTATCCCTCTTTTCTGGACTCCGAGCTCAGTTCGCGCAGTAACAAATGAACTGCGCGCTGCGACACCTCCCAGCTCTTCAGGCTCGGCCGCCATTTCCTCGCCTGGCCTAACGGTCCGGCCAATCCCAGCGCGCATCGAGAAAGGCTAAGGCTCCACCAATCGGAGGCCGCCGATTCCGACCCTTTGCCTCAGCTCGGCCCAATCCAGGCCCCGGCCCCGTCGCCCCCGGTCCGCCCCCGCGGAGCCCTCTCTCCTCCCTCTTTGTGCGTCTCGCGCCGCCGCCGCCCGCCGCGTGAGAAGACGGGTTCCGCGCGCTCCGCGGCAGCGCAGTCGGGTCCCCTCCCCCCAGAAGATTCGGGAAGAAGAAGCCGCCGCCGAAAAGGAGCCGCCGGTGCCGGTCCCTGGGGGCGCCATGGCGACAGGAGCGAACGCTACGCCGCTGGGTAAGCTGGGCCCCCCAGGCCTCCCTCCTCTCCCTGGCCCCAAAGGGGGCTTCGAGCCGGGCCTACCGACTGCCCCCGGGCCTGGGGCGGGGCTGCTGGTGTCCGGGCCGCTGCCGCCCCCGCCCGTGGGCTCAGTGGGGGCCCTGACCGCGGCCTTCCCCTTTGCGGCGCTACCGCCGCCGCCGCCGCCGCCGCCTCTCCCCGTGCACTTCCCGGGCGGCGGAGCCACGGGGCGCGCGGCCTGGTTCTCGGGCCTCGAGTGCGCACGCGCCTCAGGGGTGGGGGCCCGGCGGGAGGAAGTTTGTTGAGCGCAGGCGCAGTTTGGCGGCCGGGCTTTGGCCAACCTAAAAGCCGCGATTGGGGGGACCCCTTGTTGCTTTCCGCCTCTGGTGTTCGGGAGGGTTGTGGAGAAGGGATCGAGTGGGTGGTTGGGGTGTCTCATGTGCAAGTCTGGAGGGCGGGAAAGGGTCAACTGATGTGGAGCGTCCTCTTCCTGATTGTAGTAAGTCCTAAAGGAAGAAAATACCAAGACAAGGTCCTTAAAACTTCTTTAATAATAAAACAGGGCTTTCGCTTCAGAACCAAAATGGATGAAAGTCTTCAGGGGGTGTTTAGGTCCGATTTTTTGTGACCCTTTTTGGCAAGGATGTTCTGTTGGTTTCGTCATCTCACTTTATTTACCTAAGAAGTATGACACGCCTTCTTCTCTTGAGGCTTTTCTGCTGGGTCTGGCCCCTGAGGAGGCACCTTTATGTATCAAACGCCAGGGAGTTTCTGCTTGTGTACTGGGGAAGAAAGATTTGACTCCTGTTGTATAGCTTGTTCTTTGTTGAACTTAACGGTACGTTTTTTAGACACTTAAGTGTCCAACTGGCCAGGAAAATGCTGACCTTAGCTAAACTTCTGAGGAGGAAAGTTATTTTCCTGAAGAATCCAGGTTTTTCAGTTGATAACCATAGATTAGTTGTGTTCTGTCTCTCTCAGGTGACTGGTGGGGAGGTGGAAAGAGTCAGCAGTTAACTATTGCTTTATACCCTGGAATATTCAGTCTGCTCTTATGTCTTGGGGCTGTTAAGAGGTTTATGGACAACCATGTGGTATATTACTATCTCAACACTCTAATTTCACTACTTGAAACTTTGTGCACTGAGATTTCTTGTTTACGCATTTCATAGCATTTCTGTGGACAAAAATTATAAATGTGCAATGTTAATTTTTCAGACTCAGGTCCCCTTCTAGTGGCCATGTCTTTTGACTTCCTGGGTTTGTCTTCCATTCTCTGCTGTTTCTTTTTAGGTCGAGTTCTGAGTTTCATAGTCTGCTGAGGTTGTGTGTAGTATCATAAGTATCCTAAACTGACTGTTGGTAGTTACTCTGCTGGTTTATGTTTACATCTGACGAACTCTCTCTCTCTCAGACTTCCCCAGTAAGAAGCGGAAGAGGAGCCGCTGGAACCAAGACACCATGGAACAGAAGACGGTGATTCCAGGAATGCCTACAGTCATCCCCCCTGGACTTACTCGGGAACAAGAAAGAGCTTATATAGGTAAATACACGTTCTGCACTCAAATGCATTTTCAGATTGTTACTGAACATTTTATTTGTTGAAAGTTTGGGACTTAAGAGTTCTCTCTTTGAGAGGAGCTATGGTCAGATGACTTTGATATAATCCATCAGTTTTTGCTCTGTGAGTCCTGCATTTGTAGTTCCTTGTTTTGGTCTGTTGGTAACAGCAGTGTTCTCCATGAGTGCCAGAAGGGTAGAGGGGCCCGCTTAGGAATGAGAATAGTTCCCAGCCCAGCACCCAACCCCACCCTTTTCAGCTGCTGTTCATTACCAGTTGATGAGGTGAGTGTTACATGCCTCTCTGGATTTGGCCCCATTGGAGAACACTGCAGGTATTGTAAACCAAATACCTTTTTCACAGCCTGGCCTTTCACCATAATTTCATATTCCTCCTTTCCCTAAAATGTGGTCTTTTATTTTTTTATAGGTACTTTCTGAAAGGGGAAAAAACTCAGTTTAATCAAAAAGTGGTTCTGAAAGTGTGTTTACCCCCTTTTACCATTTTGTTGAATTTAACCTTTCCTTCAGCATCTTTTCTGGTTTGGTCTTTGGAGAGCTGTCTTAAAATGAGGGCTCTTGTGTTTACTCCTAAGGAACTCTGCAGGGAAAGGGGTACTGCTTGGATCTGGAATAATGAGGTGGTTAGGATAAAATATCTTAACTGTTGGGAAATTTTGAGAATTACGAATATCCATAGTGGAATTGAAACTAACTTAAAAATTACCTTTTTTAAAAAAAATAAAAGGTTTTTAATGTAAGTTTTACATTCATTTATGTACCTGTACAGCTGTCTCAAAAAAGTTTACTTGATACACATTTCCTACTAACCAAATAAACATTGGAGTAAATTAGGGCAGAAGCCTCTTAGACCCATGAGGTTGTGTCCTTCATGAGTAAAAGACCTCAAGGCCATTGTTGTTCTTGAGGGTCTTCATCTCTTTTCTAGATTGCTGAAAATTTTGAGGTGTTGAAACTGCCTTATCTCCTTTTTACAGTACTAATAATTCTTCTTTCCCTACTGTTGAGTCTGCTTCCACCCATACTTTTATGTCTTGTATTTGATTAGTCTGGGTCTTGATAACCTTATGAAAATGTCCCTAGTAGAGTGATATCCCAAGAACACAAGCAGATGTAGAAAATGGGGAAAACAGACTCATTCTTTACATTTCCAGCTCTCTTCCTTTGGAGGAAGAGCGTTTAAAGGTGTAATCAAAGCCTGGGCTAGTGTAGGCCTCTTCTCCAAGGAAGATAGCAACCTTTAGATTCAGGTGCCGGTGGTCTCCTCAGATCAGAGCCCACATCCCTGCTGTCCAGTTATGAGAACTGCCTGCCTCCATGAAGGTGACTCTCACCTTGAGCAGTTGAGCTTAACACTTGACTACCAAGTCAGAACTTCTCTAGCATAAAACAACCTGGGGGCCCACATGTGTCTTAGTGCTGTTTTATCGCTCTTACACAGGAGGTCCTCAATATCCTCTTTTGATATTAATGTAGATTTTCATTTCTTCTGAGTTGGAGTGGATGTGGGGTATAGCCCTGTGGGCTGTATTTAAAATTAGAAGGGTGTCTGGGTTTAGACATGCATTAATTCTTGGAGTCAACTCAACTTGAACCCAACCCATTAAGACTTGCCCTTGTTAGAGATAACCTGCTTAGGATACTCAGATGCTCCAAAGGTAAGAAACAGGTGGGCATTCAGCAAAAGAGTGATCTGGCTTCACACTTCCCATTATCTTGAGAAAATCAGCTGGGTAATACTTGCCTGGAGTCACTGAACTTTTGTGAAACCCTCATCTCTCTTTTTCATATACAGCCTCGTTGTCAAGGTCTGAGGGCCCCACATAACTCTCCTTGACCCACACTTTTCCTTCTCTGCACCCCTACTTTTATTCCCCATGTAAGGAGCGAGTCTAAACTTCTTGCCTTGTTACTGGTGTATTAAGGTATACGGATTGTTATAAAATTTGAATGAAAACAACAGGTATTGGGAGATCCTTACTAGTACGGATCTGGTTTTACAGAAATATGCACAAACTTACATATGAGACTGTTGAATTGGTTATTAAATGTTTTGTTTAAGGAATTTTAATCCTGGTATCAGTGAAAATGATCTTTGCTTAACTGGTGTTTTTCCTTGTCCCATGTTAATTGAATCTCATTTTGGGTTATGTTTTAAGTTTTGATGAAGGAAAAATAAAATCTAAGAATCTTGCACTCAAGAATGTAATTTGGTGGGAACAGGGTATTGGTGATAACATACATGGTTTAGTTCTGAGTGCCAATTGTATAGCAAGCCTTGGTGGAGAGGAAGAGGTAAAAGGCCTCCTAATAATTGTTTTGATGTTAGCCTGAGTGAACAGTCTATACTGCTAACCCCTCTTCCAACGAACTGTTTGCTTCCTTAAGTGATAACCATTTTGAAGTGAAAGATACTTAAGAGATGTAAGTGGACTCCTGCCAGTAGATGGTTGGGAGTTTTTGCCTCAATGTGTTCACTGATCAGTCGTCCCTTTCAAAGTCTCCGAGTTCTTCATGCTTGTTGTTGAGATTTGAGATGTTTTTTGGTAACATTGTCTTTTTTCCATCCTTTTTTTTCTTTCCTAACCTGGTTTCTTCCAGTGCAACTGCAGATAGAAGACCTGACTCGTAAACTGCGCACAGGAGACCTGGGCATCCCCCCTAACCCTGAGGACAGGTTGGGAAACAGTTTTAACCAGCTGACAGTAACGCTTTTACCTTTTTCTCAATACGTTTTACTGGTGGCAACATGTTGTGTCAGTTCAATAAAATCCTAGTAAGAAGACTGGTACTGTGACCATTCTGGGAACTAGAGTGTAAATTAGCAGTATATATGGTCAGTCATCAGTTAGCAAATTGGAATGAAATTTAATTACTAGCAGAATCGAAAGTTACAGGAAAATGGACAACTGGTTTTCAATTGAAAAGCATATAGATTTTAACCTGATTTACCCACTAGTAGGGACAGTGAGGTGGCCCATTAACCAGCTATTTCAGTACCTCCTTTGGCTGAAAGCCCAGGTGTAGTGTTTTCCTCACAGGTACTACACAATGTAGGGAATAAGAATATTTTTGAGCATCACTGAATTTGAGCAGGCCAGAAACTCAGTCTGGTCAGCTCATGCTGCAGTCTCCTGCTCATGGTTTTGAAATAGACAAGATTCTAACCAACTTCCTTCATCGCTGCCAGTTAATTTTCGGCCTTGGCCATTGCCTGGGGTGTTGGGAGGGGACAGAATATTTTCACATGTTTTGGGAAGGCAAGCAACCAACCAATTACTTTTTTTTTTTTTTTTAAGGGAGTGTGGTCCTCAAACAGCTGTGGTCATGTCATTTCAGTTTGTAATTTCTCTCACCTCTAAAAAGTAAAAAGTCTACAAAGTTTGAGGGAAATGAAATTTTTTAACAGGAATTTTATTGGCAGGCCAATATATGAACAGCTAAAATCTGGTCCATTTAATAGAAAGGCAATGTGCCTCCCCAGTGAAGTTTCTCTTAGTACATGCAGCATAGTTGAAAACACTTTGCTTTAAAAAGTAGTGGTTTTGACTTGCTGCCCATTTTAATAACTTTTTAAATCAGGAACATGATGTAATGGTTTTAGAAGCCACTCACTTAAATAAACACCTTTTTGGTGCCCTGTGTCAGAAAGCAAAGTAACTTCCATACTGATACTTTATATTTGAGTTAATTAAATTTTTTTTTTCACCTGTAGATTTTGGTTGGAGGGTTGTGTTACGTTTTATATTTTGACTTTTTTTTTAGATTTGCTTTATAGATTATAGACCACAACTGTTTAGTGCCTTTTTGGCCTTTTTTCCTTTAATAACATGTCCACAGGTTACCAGGCAGTTCCTCAAAAAGTTGAATTTTTAACAAACCTTTGTTTCCTGGAGAATTTGGATTAGAAATTAGATGACCTCTAATACTATTCCTATTCAAAGTGAAGAAGTTGGGCCAGTCTGACCTCTAGAATATTGGTTTTTGCCTTTCACTTCCACAATTTGGAAAGAGGTTACACTGTTGTGGGGCCTTTACATGACCAATTTGGTACTGGTAAAGCTTCTTTTGGTGGTTAGTCAGAAGTGCTTAATTCTAGACAGCTATGAATGAGGTGGGAATTAGAAATGTCAAGCATGTTAGAAATAAAATCAGAGCAGAGTTTTTTTTTTCCTCCCTTGAATTCAGTTTGAAAGAGGCCCTAATTAATGCCTGATGGTTTTGCTTTGAAAGAGCCCAGGTTGGAGGGAAATGCAAGAGTTTCTCATTTAAGGTTATTTCTTAAAAAGGTGTATTCTCAATATGAAGCCACTTTATGCCATTTTGATGTTGCTTAAGTTGCACAGTTAAAAATGTTTTAAAACCTGTAGATTTAAATGTATAAGATGGTAGTCTAATGAGCTGGGGTATGTTTGTCTTTGTTTACTATTACTGGATTGTGCTAACAGTTTATACAAATGCTAGAAACGGAGGTGTCATTTAGCCGTCATTAGCCATGAACAAACCTGACCTTTTATTCCATCGTGTGTGTAATGTGGTATGACATGATTCGCTTTAGGCTGAAGACAGTGGGAGCAGCCGAGTTCAGTCCTTGCTCTCCAACTAGGCAAGGTTCTCAACTAAACAAAGGGTATAGGAATCTTGACTACTTTCAGGATGTTTTTAAAATAACCTGATCCACATGGTCTCTTCCCTTCTTGCAGCTGCTACTAAATTTTCATTCAGAATATCAAGCTATGGTCCTTTTTGTAATCTTAACTCAGAATTCTAGGAGTGTAACTTCTCTTTTTTTTTTTTTTTTATTACCGCAAAATCCAGCTGTGGTAAACTGATCATTTTATCATTGCTATTTTTTACTTGTAGCAACAGGATTTTACTCCTTTAAAAAAAGAGAGAGAGAAAATCTGCTTTCTGGACTTGTAAACTCTGGTGGAGAATCATAGGTTTTCCCCTTGCTGTTTGCAGGTTCAGACCCTAGACAAATACTTGACCAAATCTGCATTTGCAGCCTCTCAGAGAAGCTGCTTTAGCAATTTAACGGTTTTCTCTACCCAGACTCCCTAACCTCGAACAGCCAGAAAACAGGTTGACTCCTGGGCCTTGGACACAGCCAGCCAGGCCATTGAAGGAAAAGCAGAGACGAAGCCTTGAATCATCTCTCTCCATTGTGGGGGCCAAGTAGCTGCAGTAGCCTTGAGTCCCAGTTGTATTGGGTTAAAGAGCTCATACTTACTATGTGGTAGGGGTACAGCCTCTCTTTCTGTTAGGGCATGAGCTCTGCAAGAGTCGTTTAACATTTTACCTAAACTTGGGGTTTCCGTGGTTCATAAAGTTGTAATATGGTTTTTTTTCCCCCCAAACAAAAGAAAATTCATATTTGGCAAGAAGACTCCAGAGGATGATACAGTCCTTGCCATTCACAGTCTAGAGATTTTCCCTTAGAAGGACTTTTTTTCCCTCTTATCACTTTTAGAACAAAACCACTTTTTTCCTTTCTCACACACCCCAGTCCCCCTGATGCTAAGCCAGCTTTCACCTCCCTATTTCACACAATTTTAAATAGCACACGTTATGGTCGGTTCCTCCGAAGAGTGTTGTGTTAGGGTCTTGAGAGGCAGAGGGGCTGGGGAAGACTTATTTTAGCCCGTGTGGGAATGAGAGTAAAGTGAAGGCAGAGGGGTGACGGTGGTCTGTTTCCCACAGGTCCCCTTCCCCTGAGCCCATCTACAATAGTGAGGGGAAGAGGCTTAACACTCGCGAGTTCCGTACCCGCAAGAAACTTGAGGAGGAACGGCACAATCTCATCACCGAAATGGTTGCCCTCAACCCTGATTTCAAGCCACCTGCAGATTACAAGTAAGCCAGGGGACTGGGTGGTCCGGGATAAAGACCCCAGCGGATTAGGTGTGGTCTGCTAGAGCATTGTGGATACTAACCTCTCACTCCTTAACCTTTGTCACCTATAACAACATGTGGTACAGAAGGTTAGTTCTAGAAGAGTTGTTGATTATCTGTCTCACCTCAGAAGTGTTCAGAGTCTATGAGTCTTTTCTTTCTTAGACCTCCAGCAACACGTGTGAGTGATAAAGTAATGATCCCACAAGATGAGTATCCAGAAATCAATTTTGTGGGGCTGCTGATTGGGCCAAGGTGAGTACCTGTTGTTCTGTGGAATACAGAATTTCCAAGGACCTGGGAGGGGCTCCCTGGGTGGCTTGATGTTAAAGAATCTGCCTGCTAATGCAAAAGATGTGGTTTAATCCCTGGGTTGGAAAGATCCCCTGGAGGAGGAAATGGCAATGCACTCATGTTCTTGCTTGGAAAATCCCATGGACAGAGGAGCCCGGTGGGCTACAGTCCATGGGTGTCACAAAAGAGTCGGATGCGACTTAGTAACTGAGCATGCATGCAAAGACCTGGGAGATGTCTGTCTTGTGCATTTTTGGGTACCATCTTCCTGTTTTTGGTAGGATGTTCACTTGGGCTGAGTGAGTACCTTTTGGTGAGAAAATTTTCTGTTTCACCGCAGAGAAGTCAAATCTTGAGGATTGCTGTCTGTGACCTTAACTTAAAGATCATGGAGCTGTTGGTGGGAAATCCCACTCTGTACATTCATCGTTTCCTATCACTGCCCAGTGAGCCACTCTTGATTTCCCATGTTGGGTATTAAAGCCATCTTTTCTGCCTCTGATAGAGGGAACACCTTGAAGAACATAGAGAAGGAGTGTAATGCCAAGATCATGATCCGGGGGAAGGGTTCTGTGAAAGAAGGAAAAGTTGGGCGCAAAGATGGCCAGATGCTGCCAGGAGAAGATGAGCCGCTTCACGCCCTGGTCACTGCCAATACCATGGAGAATGTGAAGAAAGCCGTAGAACAGGTAAGGGAGTCAGGAAGGAAGCCTCTGGCCAGAAATCTAGGTGGCAGTCCCAGGACTTACATAACTGTTACCGTTGCGTCTCCACCAGATAAGAAACATCCTGAAGCAGGGTATAGAGACCCCTGAGGACCAGAACGACCTACGGAAGATGCAACTTCGAGAGTTGGCTCGCTTGAATGGAACCCTTCGGGAAGATGATAACAGGTGTGTATGTGATTGGTTTAGAGGGACATGCACAGAAACCAGAACCTATGGAAGAAGGGTGATTGGCCGTAGCCCTTGAGGTGACCTTTTTCTCTCAACAGGATCTTAAGACCTTGGCAGAGCTCTGAGACCCGCAGCATTACCAATACCACAGTGTGTACCAAGTGTGGAGGGGCTGGCCACATTGCTTCCGATTGCAAGTTCCAAAGGTGAGGGTTTCCTGGTAGCCTCTGGTGTATAGGGCAGCTCGTGTTAACTTGCAGACCAAAGAGCTTCCATTCATTGAGTTTGACCTATTAACAGTGTGATGCAATGCCCAGGATGATTAGAAACATCCCTAGTTTATTGCTTATCTTGAGCCCAGGGCACCTGAAAACTTCCCTTCTGGATATAGGTGTTTTCACTGTGACTCATTGCTAACTGCTATTTGTTGCTATGGTTGGTATTACAAGACAGCTTGTAGTTTTGACCAGTTGCAATCCAGCATTTGATAGCAATGTTTTTCTATTTCGAGTGGCAAATATAAAAAGCCTTGTTAAGGAAGTTTTGGCAGCTGCTCTGGTCTTGCATAGAGTTTCCTTCTCTGATACCTGCAGTGTGGAAATTGATGAAACTTGATGTTTTGGGAAAACCTGGACTTTTCCTGGCTTCCTTTCTCTTCTTGCCCAAGGGTCTCTGCTGTGGCAGAGGTCCATGTGCTTTCCCCAGATGCAGAGCTGGGCACAGAGCTGAAGAGCTGATGGGACTATTTCCAGGAAGGGGTTAGAAAGGGTGACTGAATGCCTCTGAACTTCCTCTGTGTAGATTCCTCGAAGTAAAGGTTTCTATCTAATGAGTCTTCTCCACCTCTCTTCTCTTTGTGTCCCTAACCCACCTTTAGGCCTGGTGACCCCCAGTCAGCTCAGGATAAAGCACGGATGGATAAAGAGTACTTGTCCCTCATGGCTGAACTGGGGGAGGCCCCTGTGCCCGCATCTGTGGGCTCCACATCTGGGCCTGCTACCACACCACTGGCCAGTGCACCTCGGCCTGCTGCTCCTGCCAACAACCCACCTCCACCGGTGAGTTTCAGGGAGTGGTTCTCAAAACCTGGCCCCCTCTTCTCTTCCTGTGAGATGGGGGGACGTGGCCAGGTGCTTGGGGCAGGACAGGTGGACGTGGCCGGCAACACTGTTCTTTCGGGCCATCAGGAATGTTTGGGGACCTCTCAGTTTGGGAAGGTCTTGGCTTTGTGTCCTGGTCCTGTGGCACAGCCGAAAGAACAGTGTTGCCGCCAAAGGGAGCAGGCAGGGACGCTGGCGGGAATGCTCTCACGTAGTCTCTCATGTCCACTACCCAGAGCCGCCCACCCTGGATGAATTCTGGGCCATCAGAGAGTCGGCCCTACCATGGCATGCACGGAGGTGGCCCTGGTGGGCCCGGAGGTGGCCCCCACAGCTTCCCACACCCGCTACCCAGCCTCACAGGTGGGCATGGTGGACATCCCATGCAGCACAACCCTAACGGACCCCCGCCCCCGTGGATGCAGCCGCCGCCGCCACCGATGAACCAGGGCCCCCACCCACCTGGGCACCATGGCCCTCCTCCAATGGGTAAGTAAGTGTCAGACCAGAAACCTTGGGGCTTTGGGGTAAGCAGGGCTTTACATGGCTGGGAGCAGGTCTCAGGGGTTGAGTGTCGGTGCTGAGTCTTGTGCCGAGGCTTTGGTTTCCAGGTCGGGAGGAAGTTTCCCTTATGGTTCAGGAAGGGATTTCTATGTGGGGTATACACAGACCTGCCTCATAGAGACAGCATTCAGAATGGCTCTTGTAAGGCAGTGATGGCCATCTCTGCCAGTGACTGAGCTATTGGTGGGGTGTATCTTCACTGGTCACTTCCAGTGTCCTCCTAAGTCCCTGCTCTTTCCTTCCATCAAGATCAGTACCTGGGAAGTACGCCTGTGGGCTCTGGGGTCTATCGCCTGCATCAAGGAAAAGGTAACAGCCTGGTTGGTGCTTACTGAGGGGTGTTGCCTGCCTAGGCTGGGGAGGCAGTGGGAGCCCTGTGGTGAACCCATCTCCTCTCCTGAGGCCTCACCCTCTCCACCTCTCTGCAGGTATGATGCCGCCGCCACCTATGGGCATGATGCCGCCGCCGCCGCCGCCTCCCAGTGGGCAGCCTCCGCCCCCTCCCTCTGGTCCTCTTCCCCCATGGCAACAGCAGCAGCAGCAGCCTCCGCCACCCCCTCCGCCCAGCAGCAGTATGGCTTCCAGTACCCCCTTGCCATGGCAGCAAAGTGAGTGGAATATTTTGGGCTGGTGGGGGTGGGTGGGATTGGGAGGGTGGGGCTGAGAGGAATGAGAGACCCTCACATCTCAGACAGGCAGGCAGACACCTTGGGATGAGACTCTTGTCTCTGCTGTGGGGTGAAAAGAAAGGGCCTTGTGGCCCCTGGGGGTCTGGGGAAAGAGAGCTGATGTCTGGCGAAGCTGTGTTTGGAGAGAGGTTTGTGGGGGCTGGAGGGGAGCCTGCCATCGTAGGCTGGGAGCCGCTGGCTGGCCCACGCCTGCGCCTTAGGCCTGGGGTTGCGGGGGTGCATGCATGCTCTGGAGAGGGATGTGACTGGGGCCTGAGAGACTGCAGGGATGGGACCGGGGAGTAGCTGTGGCCTTGAGGTTGAATGTGCCGTTCGGTGGTGGCGGCGGATGGGCGGAGGGATGTCAGAGCCGGTTCTTGTGTCTGGTACCTTCCCCTTGGCCCTTCCAGGGGCATTGGTGACAAAAGGGCTTACTCTGCTAAGCCTAGAGACCTTGAGGCTGACCCCAGGGTAGTCCTGCCCACCCCTCCACCCCCATCCTATGCTGTCCGCATGCCAAGCAAGGAGCAGGCATCCCTTGCCCCCCATCCCAAGGCAGCAGCCGCAGAGAGCCGCGGTGTGCCCCCGCGCGTGTGACCTTGGGCTTCTTTACCACCCCAGATACGACGACTACCACCACGAGCGCTGGCACAGGGTCCATCCCGCCATGGCAACAGCAGCAGGCGGCTGCCGCAGCTTCTCCAGGAGCCCCTCAGATGCAAGGCAACCCCACTATGGTGCCCCTGCCCCCAGGGGTCCAGCCGCCTCTGCCGCCCGGGGCCCCTCCCCCTCCGCCGCCTCCGCCGCCTGGTTCCGCCGGCATGATGTATGCCCCGCCCCCTCCTCCTCCGCCTCCCATGGACCCTTCTAACTTTGTCACCATGATGGGCATGGGGGTGGCGGGCATGCCACCCTTCGGGATGCCTCCAGCTCCCCCACCGCCTCCACCACAGAACTAGACTTGGTTTTTTAAGAAAATATATATTATATATAGAGAGAATTGGTCTCGTTTAAACACACGCCGAACCTCACCATATGGAGCCAGACATTGGGACGCACGCATGTGATTGTGTGCACGCATGTGTGTGTGTGCACGCACCGGGCTGGGCCAAGCGACTGAGGACTCGCTTGGGAATGGGCAGGTGGTAATAGGGGCGCCAGCTTGGGCTCTCCTGGCGCCCCGTAGCATCGAGTGTCTTCTTTGTCTTCTTTCTCTCCTCACCCAAATCCCTTTGCCTCTCCCCAAACTGGGCCGCCAGGATCCCTCCCCGCGGCGGCGATGGCCCGAGCCATGAGAGTGAGGACTTTCCGCGCCCATTGGTGACCCTTCCAGGCAGACAGCCTCAGCAGCGCCCCTGGTGGACAGGATGGTTCGGCAAAGCAGCCTGAGTTATTTTTATGGACGGAATCGGAACACGCTGGCTCCATATTGTGAAATTTTTATTAATTTTTTCTTTTTTCTTTGTTACTTCCTTATCTCTTCCTTTCTTCAGACTCCGTCCAAGGAGATGCTCTCCCCGGTCTTCTGCTGCAATTAGATTCCTTTCCCTTTTCTCATTCCTGGTTCTTTAAGGAGAGAGGAGCAAGTGGTTTTTAGGCAGAGACTTTGGGCCATCAGTGTGGCAGGGTGGGGTGGGTGTCTTCTTTGGTTCCAAGATTTTCAAACTGCCATATTTTTTTCAAGCTGAGATATTTTTTCCCCCTTAATCTTAAGTGCGGGGTTTTGTCTCTGCCACCCACGTGGAGTAGTGGGTTAGTCCCCAGGTTCAGGGTCCATAAACATCCTTGCACCCCTGCCCATGGTAGGTGAGGCCACCCACGTAAGCTGCCTGGGGCTTGTCTGCAGCCTGCAGAGCCCTTTCAGCACTCCCTGAGCTGCCTCAGATTCCATTTGTTCCTCTCCTTCCTGGAAGGCTACCTTTTAAAATTTATTTTAATCCCAAATGTCTGAATGTTCTGCAGTGTCGAGGGGTTTGAGCCCCTTGTTTTCTTCGTTCTGCTTCCTTCCTTTCCTCCTCCCCTCTTCATGGAGTGATTATGTTGACAATAATGTATGATGCGCGTTCTCTTCACTGGTTTATCAGCAGAAATTTCTCTGGGCTTTTTGGTGTATGATTCAACACTGCGTTAAAGGGGGGGTGTTCCATTGAATAAAAGAGCAGTGTGGTTTTCCGGGTCTGTTGTTTTTCTTCTCTTACACTGCTGCCACTATCAGTGCCACCACCAGTTAACGAAGCTGTGTTCAGCACCTGGTCCCACTGTCCCTTTCCCAGGGGAGCCTCTGGACCTTCATTAAGGAAGCCCCCCCGCCCACCCTTGTTTCCCCGTTCTCCCTCCCTGTGCAGCTGCTGTGTGGGCGGCCCCACCTTCTGCTAGCTTACTGATTAATTGCTGAAGACCAGGTTCCCCCTTCCTGGTCTCTGTCCTTTTGAAGGCCTTTCCCTGGGGCTCAGACCCCCACGTTCGATGAGCTCCAGTTGTGATTCGTTCCTGGAAGCTGCCACCTGACTGAGGCTCTGGGCCTGGGGAGGCCTCAGCACGAAAGGTCAAGGCCCAACTAATCCTGCCTGTCAGGCTCCAAGCTGCTAAAATTAAAACCGCCAAGTGGCTTTTTCTCTCTCTGCTGGTGACTCGCAGCCTGCCAGCACGGCAGGCTTTGGGGAGAGGTGGGGGCAGGAGAAGAGGCCCCACCTTGTGCTTTGTAAGCACTTCACAAAGGGTCTCAGGCTGTTTTGTTCTCTTGTGTCTGGGCTGGTGGACAGGCCCATTGTGGCACCAGGGAAACCCAGCTCAGGACTGCTGGGGCAGTGAGGGAGGGCCTTGTTCAGTGCTGCTGCTGCTTTGCTGCAGTTCCTGGGGGAGTTGCATGGGGGCCCGCGCTTCCCACCGCCTTCCCTTCCTTTGGGCAGGTGGAGGCACAGCAAGCTCTGCAGCCCACAGCACTGGGCCGGTGGGGACAACGCTGGCCTGGGCTTTTCTGCAGCTTGGGACTGGGGCTAGCCCTGCTGTTTATCCTGAGCAGGCCCTTGGTGTCTGAGCCCTGTCCAGCTTGCCTGGGCTGGTTTGCTGTAGGCCTGCAGGGGTTAATGGAGCCTCAGAAGCCAGACCTATTCACTGGGTCTCCCCAAGCAGGCCCTAAAGGTCCCTTGACTGAAAGGGAGAGGGGATATTTTTCCTGTCCTTAGCCGACAGAACGGGGGCAGGGCCTGGGGCCTGGCAACCCTCTTTCACCTTGGCTTCACCTCATTGCTTCCCCCACAAGCTCCGTTTCCCTGGTGGGCTCACTGGGCGGTTAATTAGCTCTTTGAAGCTCTGGAAGAGGCAAAGTGGCGCTATGTGGGTTTTAGAAATAAAATCAATAAATGACTTAACCACCGCCCAGCTATCTCTTCTGTCTCTCTCCCCTGGGGCCAGCTCCATTCCTGTGCTCGCTCTCCTCTCCCTGCCGTCAGCTTTTGTTAAGGTTTTGGTGAGTAACGAAGTGGCCGACTGGGGCATCAGTCTCCAAGGCAGCAAGCACCTGCCTTTGCAGTGGAACCAGAGGGGTGAAGAGGGCTTCCCCAGCCGCCTTAGGCCCCTGGGGGGGGCAGAGCCCTCCACTTGACCCTGCTCCTGTTCTGCTGCTGCAGCAGTGTCTTTCCCCGCACCCCAGAGCCGGGTTGGTAGGAGGAATGTCCGTTGGGAAAGGTCAGTGTTAGGGCTCTGTTACTGAGACCCCGCCAAGTGCTCTGGAGAAACCCAAGATTGGTCTCAGGAAGGAGACAGGATTTATGGTTGGAAATCTAGTCGGACATAAACAACCTTTGAGTTAGTTCGTGTATCTGTTTAGAAACCATTGGACATAAACAACATAGAGTTAGTTTAGAGTTCAGGCTGGGAAAGTGTGCTTTCAGAGTTCTTTAAATCTCTAAAGGGAACTTCCTGGTCCAGTGGCTAAGACTGTGCCCAATGAAGGGGGCTTGGGTTCGATCCCTGGTCAGGGAAGTAAGATCCGACATACTGCAGGTGGAAATCCTGCATGCACCCACTGCAACTAAAACTCTTGTGTGCAACAAATAAGACCTGGCACAGGCCAAATAAGTAAATGAATATTAAGGCTTCACAGGTGGCTCAGTGTTAAAAGTCTGCCTTGTCGATGCAGGAGACATAGGTTTCTTCCCTGATCTGGAAAGATCCCAAAACTAAGGAGCAACTCAGCCTGGGCGCCACAACTACTGAGCCTGCACTCTAGAGCCTGGGAGCCCTGGCTACTGAAGCCCAAGCCCCCTAGAGCCCATGCTCCACAACAAGAGACACCACCTCAATGAGAAGCCTGCGCATGGCAGGTAGAGGGTAGCCCCTGCTTGCTGCAACTAGAGAAAAGCCTGCACAGCAATGAAGACCAAGCACAGCCTAAATAAATAAGCAAAATTATATATATACGTATATATATATATATATACGTATATATATATATATATAAAATATGGATGGATGTGAGAGTTGGACCATAAAGAAAGCTGAGTACCAAAGTATTGATGCTTTTGAACTGTTGTGTTGGAGAAGGCTCTTGAAAGTCCCTCAGACTGACTGCAAGGAGATCAAACCAGTCCATCCTAAAGGAAATCAGTTCTGAATATTCATTGGAAGGACTGATGCTAAAGCTGAAGCTCCAATACTTTGGCCACCTGCTGTGAAGACACTTGACTCATTGGAAAAGACCCTGATGCCGGTAAAGATTGAAGTTGGGAGGAGACGGGGACAGAGGACAAGATGGTTGGATGGCCTCACCGACTCGACGGACATGAGTTTGAGCAAGCTCCAGGAGTTGGTGATGGACAGGGAAGCCTGAGGTGCTGCAGTCCATGGGGTCACAAAGAGTCGGACACGACTGAGCACCTGAACTGATACATAAACCTATACATACAACACCAATAGGGAGTGAAACGGGGGAAGGACTTGGGGAAGCCAGTAGGTCAGTTTCAGTCTTCAAGTTCCCATCATGCTGGGCTGGGGGATATGAAATGAAGGGTCTCCTGGGGTGGCATTACCCTGGAAAAGACAAAAGTTCCAGTGGGTGCCACTGACACGACAAAGGCCAAAAGAACCCAGGAGAAAGGTAGCCGGAGAAACCAACTCAAGTATTACATTTGTTTCCCAACAGAAAGAGGTTGTGTCCCAGTTCAGCCAGTCCCTTGAGTTCCGGGGCAGGGTGATCACCCAGTTAGTGAGCAGGGGGAGGGGTGTGGATTGAGTTGACTTGGGGAGCAGAATAAGATAGGAATGTGCTCTGTTGGGGGCAGGCTCTTAGCAGCAGAAAATTAGGGGTCAGTGCAAAGGTTTGTGTGGCCAAAGCATGCAGCCACAGTTGGGCCATGAGGTGACAACATCGACAACTGGTGCCAAAATGCCTCTGAGCTCTCTTTGGCACTCCATAAAGAAGGCAGGCCAGGTGGTCCGAGATGCTGGCCAAGCCCGGTCCTTGGTTGGGGGTGGGGGTTGGGGGGGATGAACCTCCCCTGAGGCACAGCCCAGGAGGAAAGGTTGAGGATGGGAACTGTTACACAGGAGAGCCACCAGGCATTCTTTTGAAATACAAGGTGTAGAATACTTTTAAAATGCAAAAGAGAAAATTTTCTATGTTCACACAACCTTGGTGTAGGTGTGTTTTGGTGTCCTCTTCCTGGTCTTTTTTTCTTTGAAACACACACTTTGGAAGACCATCCTAGACGCTATCAGAGCAGGGGCAGAGCAGGGCTTGGCCTTCGGAGGACTAGGAGTTTGGCCTCCACGCTAAGCTGGTATTTCCAGGGTTGAGTCTGTTGTGGCTCAGAAACAGCTGGATTGTCCTTGAAACAGACTGTGGCATCCTGCAGCTGGCCAGGCCTCTGATGTGCTTCCTTGGTGCTCAGACTGGAACACCCAGGCTCCTCTTCCCCAGTTCCACCACTCTAGGAGGCCCAGCCTCCTTTGAAATAGCGCCAGGCCCTGGGTTCCTTTTGCTCAAAGAATAAAGCAGGGGACTTCCTTGGTGGTCCAGTGGCTAAAACTCTGCACTCCCAGTGCAGGGGCCCAGGTTCCAACCCTGGCCAGAGAACTAGATCCCACATGCTGCAACTAAGACTTGGCTCAGCCAAAGAACAGGAACAAAGCAGGATCTGTGACCAATGTAGACAGCATATTAAAAACAGAGACATTATTTTGCCAACAAAGGTCCATCTAGTCAAAGCTATGGTTTTTCCAATAATGTATGGATGTCAGAGTTGGACTATAAAGAAAGCGGAGCCCCGAAGAATTTTTGCTTTTGAACTGTGGTGTTGGAGAAGACTTGAGAGTCCCTTGGACTGCAGGGAGATCAAACCAGTCAATCCTAAAGGAACTTTAGGAACCACGTGACCCCGGGTGGGAGAAATGAATGGGAGAAGGCCTTTACTCACCTGCAGCACGGGGAGAGTTGATACCACTGTGTGTGTGTGTGTGTGTGTATATGTGTGTGTATATGGGCTGCTTCAGTTCTCCTACCCCTGTGGGCCACAGGACTACAGTTCCCAGAGGCCCCTGCTCCAGGCTGCTGGCCCCTAGCCAAAGCTGGCCTGTAACCTGACCATCCCTCTTGAAAGGTCACTTCAGAGCTCCTTGAGGGACAGCAACAGGGGGAGCTCTGAGTGGCTGGACTTCGGTGGGGGATGGGATGGGGCAGTGGCCCTGCCTCAGGCAACCTCTCCCATACCACCTCTCCTGGAACTGAGAGTCCCGGTCCCCCTTTTCTCGGATGCCCAGTGTCCTCCGCTAGCTTCGCCTTTTCTGTTCGGGGCACCCTGATGCTCTGCGCAGGTGGCCTTCAGCCACAACATGTGTCCTTCCCACCCAAGGGTAGGGCCACCATAAAAGCTTGACCAGAGAGCATCCCGCCTGTGGTGTGCAGCCTATTGTGTGAAAGTTGAGAACCGAAGCCAAGCTGCTCTGCTGGAGGCTGGGCCTCCCGACACCTGCCCTCCTGACAGCCTCCTTGGCCTCTCCAAGGAGCCCTGATTGAGGGCCCACAGTCAGGCCCCATCCTTCATCCATAACCCGAATTCAGGGCAGCCTCGGCCAAAGTCACAGCCGAGCCGCTCCAGGCAAGTCTCGGGCCTCTGGAGCCAGCACTCTGCCTGCTGCACCCTGACTCCGACCCTGCACAAGGCAGGCCGGGGGACA